AGATTAGTAAAAAAAATTTTTCACAAAATATTGAAATCATCTTTTCACTATATTGCAAGAACCTATAAAATATAAAAGGGAATATGATGCATTAAATAATCAGCTTTGCAACTTTCGTTTATTTTGTTTATTTTATTTATTTGGGAAAATCGGATTTGGGCTTATATTAACTGATTTGTATTTTATTTTCCAAATATTTTACGTCCAATAAGATTAACAAAATTGTATTAGCATTTATTATATTTAAGGACGGGATATTCTGTTCTCATATTTATTATTTTACATTTTCTTTAGGCTTCAAACCAAACCCAGTGAAACTGGTTTAGAGTGCATTTTTTTAAACTTGAACCTTTCCATAAGCTCCTTATGAACCCAAACCGAAGCAGTTTTTGGAACTTCGGATTCGGTCCTGGTTTATATTTTTTTTAATTATTAAAATTTATCAAAATTATAAAAATGGAATTTAATTTGTGCTGAAAAAATTATTATTTAATCATTACATAATAAATATGCATTAATTTTCATATTATGATATGGAATCCATGGTTCCGAATCTCTGAATTTTAAATCATTTAGTTATGGAAATTTTAAAAATATAAAATCTTATTATATTAAAATATAAAGATAATTAATATTGATGACATTTGTATTATTTAGCAGACTTGTTAAAGAAACTTTTAATGTATCGAAAAGCGATGCATTCTAAAAAGGTTTATCGAACCGATATAAATATATTTTTCTCAAATATATTCGATGTCAATAAAAATTATCGATAGATTTTCGAAGCATATTTTTTACTATTCATTAATATAAAGGAGGCATCCCATCCCATAAGTGAAAAATTTTTTAGCCAGGCTGAATAAATATTCAAACGGTGCATTGGAAGGTACTGTTGTATTTCATAAATAACTCTTTAATATTAGGAAAATTTTTTAAAATGGTGAAATCTTTAGTCTGTTTCCTAAAAAATAACAGCAAAAACAACAAATTTTTTTGCTCACTTACTAAAGTTAGGTCTTCCTTAAATTTGCTATGAATTACGAAATTTAAATTTATAAAATAAATCATGGAGAAAATAAGATACTGCATAGTTTGTATAATTCGGATTAAATAATTTTATAACAAATTCAAATTTTTTTTTATAAGGATAAAGTTTTTTAATTTTTAAATCTAGGGGTGTGTATGCCATTCCAAGCGTTTTGAAATTGGTAAGCGGGAAATAATTTCCCGAAACATAAACGTGCAAAAATTTCTGAAAATAATTATCCGAAAATAAATTTTACCAAAAAAAGTTTTCGTTAAAAAATTCCACGGAAAAAATATTTCCCGTATACCATTTCCTGACAGAACGTATTTTAAAAGTGGTTTTTGAGGTATGTTTCTAGAAATTTTTTTATGTTTCTAAATAAAGGTTAATAATTGGTCGAATTATTATTTTTGTATATATAATATTTAGAAAAAATTGTTCAGCCACCATTTAATCATTTGTAATAATCAAAATCATTTGTTTTCTTTAACGATTAAATAGCGCCGGAGATATCCGAACAGACAAGTCTTTTCCTAAGAATTATATGTGCAAAAATTAATTCGCAAATGGCAGTAAATTAAATCGTGGGAGAAAAAAATTCCCAGAAAATAGATCTCCAAAAAATTCCCCTCCAAAATAAATTCCCAAGAAAAAAATTTCCCTGGAAAAACGATGCCCATTTTCTTAGATTCTAAAAGGTATAAGTGGAAAACAATTCCCAGGAAAAAATTTCCTAAGTAAAAATTTACCAAATTTTAAAGATTGGTATTCTCCCATATGAAATTCTCAATAAAATAGGAAAAAAACCATAGTTCAAAGTTTGTTGAAAATCAATGGAATTGTCAAAAGATACTTCCAAGTAAAAACTTTAAAAAATTAGGTAATTTTTAATCGAAATGATTGTAGAAAAAAAACTCTAATATTCAATAAGTAAATATTAGAAAAAATTTTGCTGAAATATATATAACGCGATTATTTGTTCTAACTACCTAAATTTTATGTTTTCCATCGAATAATAATCAGGCCTCCATATACTTTCTTTCCTCCCTTCTCCTCCCTAGTTTCTTTATACTATTTTTTTTAGACATCTTTTTTTAAAATAGATTATCATCCTTTTGTCTTCCAAAATTATATTTTTATATTTATCACCTTTATCAATTTGGTTTTAGAAAAATATAGTATATGTTTTTCCTTTTTTACAATATATTATATTAGTTATATCTACTCAAATAAAGAAACGATTGAACGGAAAAAAAATATTAGTTTCATATGGAAATTATTCAATCAATAAATTTTTATTTTTGAGATATTACAGTAAATATATATATCCTTGTTACCTTTGTCAAATAAATTTATAACAAACTTTTTAGAACTTTAGAACTTAAAAATAAAAATAAAATAATCGATAAATTTCAATATTATATTTATACTATAGAAAATGTACAAATATCATCATAAAAATTTAAATAACTTTAATTAAACTTTGATTAATTTCAAAAACCGAAACTAAGATGGAATAAAGTCTGGAAGATAACTTATAGTTAAAGGTTGACAGTTTATAATAACAGTTTTTGAAAAATTTTATGGAAATTAGGCGCGGGAGTAGGGCTAGGTTACGATTAGAGAGATGTGGTTTATGGTTAGTTTATAGTATTGAGAATATAGTATCGGATTCAAAATAATATTTTGGATTAATTTCCTCAAAACTAGGTATACCAGGTAACTTATGGTTACGGGTATATCAACCAAATATTCTTGCATAATAAACTATTGTTTAGAATAAAAAATCAGAGCTGATTAATAGATAAATCACCTTAGCCAAAGACATTAAAGTTTTTCTGCAAATTAAGCCATCTTATATCAGTTTTTCTTTTAAGGAGGAAGTAAGATGGAAATCAAAAAAACAAGAGAATAATTCGGAAAGTGGGGGAAGGGTCTTAAATAATGCTATGACAATGAGATCAGGAAGTAACCCTTATGAGAGCATTAGGTATAATATTATAGGGGGAGAGTACACAAATCACCTGGATAGGGTTATTGTTACATGGATACGATTTGGGATTAGTTTATATTTTAAAAGATAAGTTAATTGTTTTTTAATTGTTTTTGTTAATTTAAAGTAAAAATTATTTGGGGATTTCTTTTACGAGGAAATATTTTCCTGATAATTTTTTTCCTTTCTTAAATTTTAGAATACTTTTTAGAATCCAAATAAATCATGGATTTTGTTTTCAGGGAAAAAATTATTTTTGAAGAAATTTTTCCCATAAATTTTTTCTTTGGGGATTTTATTAATTTCTCTCTGGGATTTTTTTTCCATGGAATTATTTTCCACGAATCTTTAAAATTGGTAATAAAAACAATTAATTTATATTATTGAAAATCTTAGTTCTATTAAATTTACCTTAGAATATGATATTCCAATTTCTAATTTTGTTTATTTTTTATAGTTTCCTAGTTTTTAATATATATATAGACCTACCGGATTAATCCAAAGTCCGGAGCTGGCATTAAACTGGAAATTTAAAAATCTGAGCTGGGTTAAAAATTAAAAAAATACAAATCAGGGTCGGATTTTATAATATTTTTTTTGTAAGAATCGATTTAATTTTTTTTAAAAATTAATTAATCGGTTTGTAAAATTTTGAAAATCATATAATGGAGTTTAACATTCATTTATTGCTCATATTTTGTATTTCCCTTTAAAAAAATTTACAAATTACAGTCTAAATTATTCAAAATAACAAAAATTAAAAATATTGGCTCAGCCAAGTCAATTTTATTAAAATGCGACCCAGGCTTGAAATTTTGATTTTTTCAGGCCTCTGAGGGTTTTGAGACATGGGTGCATTTATACACAGTTTTTTAACCTTATTTATGCTAGGAAAAAATTATTCTACTTTATTTTGAAGAATAAAAATATACATTTTGAAATATATCGATATATTTAGTTAATTATTTTTTTCACTTATTATATAAAGATTTAAAAAGGTAGGAAAGATCGGAGCCCGTTGGGTACATTTTAATTTTTGAAAATTGTTCTAGCATAATGCCAATAGTAACAAAATATAATTGCAAACTTCATAGTTTAAATTTATAAATAAAGCTTTAAAAATCCCAATAAATAGATATCAAAAGTTTAACCATATTTTTTATAATCTAACAATATTTCAGAATTATAAACATGAGTTTATGATTTTAAATTGCATTTATAAATTGTTCTTACGTTAGTCCTATCAATTATTGTATATTTATAATATTTTAATTAAAATAAATACAACTAGTGTTAAATGAATATTTATCAATCTAAAATATTTATTATAATACAAATTAAATTTAATTTTTATCCTTGAAAGAAGGCCTATTACACATAGCTTAAATAATTTTGAATTTAATTTACTTAATTATTGTGTATATATAATGTTATGAGTAAATTATCCTTTGGTTTAATAACAATATTTTTTTAAAAAATATTTAATAAAAACTCATTACTCTGGGAACAACTACTCCTATTGTTTGACCGACGTGCCCAGAGTATGAGATGAGAACATTGGCCCCATAAGTTATTTTCAATTTTTTTTTAAACCAATAAATATATTTTTTAAAGAAAATATATGTATAAAGCGAGAAAAAAAAAATAAATTAAAATAATTAATAGGAATAGATATATATCGGTTTGACACAATGGTTTATCAAACCAGCAGAGCCTTTACTTTTTTTACAGAATATTGAAGGGTATATTTATAGTTGTTGATAGTTATATTTTTAGGTTCTTAACCCTAATATATATCATCAAACATATAGCAATATTTTCATCTCCATATGTTCTATTATTTTCAGCTTTACCATATTACAACAAGCATACTTTTTGGGTTTTATTAAGTTAAAAAATGACAAAAATTAGATTTTAAAAGATAAGCTTATATTATAAAACAAGCTATAGATTCCTTAACCTTATTCATATTTTTTCTAGAATAGATATGACAAACTATCTAAGGAAAGAATAGATAATCAACAGGGAATTGATGCCATTAACTCTAATCAACAATTAGAAAAATATCATGAGTTACTCAGTAACTCTTCTACAGCAAACAGTATAGGATTAATGCAAGTCCCAGATGAGAATCTCCCAAATGTATTTCAATACTACAAAGCGAATTATCAAAATAAAAATAAACGAATAAATGATAATAATAATGACAATAATATGACTTCTCAGGATGAAAAAATTAAGAAATTGGTCAAACGAACAAAAAGACAACTATACAATGATTTTGGCTCGTTCCGGGATGAAATCAAAGGCGTAAGAGATGGAGGTAGACAGGGGCCCTTCCCTCGTTCTGGTAAATATAATTAATTTTTCTCTAGTGGTAGGTGGGGGTGAGACCAATGCCCATATATTTTTGGTTTACAATATCAATATCAATATAAACCAATATATAATTAAATTTTGTATTGGTTGCCAATTACCTGTATATATTGGTTTGATATATTGTTTAAATACAATATTAACCAATACCAATACCAATATTTGAAAAAAAAATAGATAATTACATATAATTATTTGGTTTTATCGTGGATGATTATATCGTGGTATAATTTTTAACCTTCTTTAAATTGCCTAAACTTATTACATCCTATGTGTAAATACTAACTTTTCTGTACTATGTTATCAATATTTGTGTTATTTATAATTGTAGTTTATTTTTATTATGGAAGCATATTTTTTACATGATATCAATTTTTATCTATTCATTTAGGATATTATAATGAATGAAGACCAAATAGTAGTAAATATAGATAAAGCTGATGATACTAATAACGATAATGAACAAGAACAATCATCAATATCTAATAAACGAAATACAGCAAAAATCTGGGAATTTTATACGAGTTGCGATAATAAAAAGAAGGCTATTTGTAATAAATGCAATAAAATATCTCTTCCCAATTTTGGAACCTCAGGGTTATGGACATATTTTAAATCCATCCACTCATCATTATATAGAAAATGTCAATAAACAAATAAAATTGGCAGTAAAAAAATGAACACAATAAAATCATTTTTAGTTAATAATATAAATAATAAAACTAATTTATCATTTAATTATAGACTTTTTTATTCAAAATAACTTAGCCTTTTTAAAGATTGAGCATATCACTTTTAAAAATTTAGTAGCAACCCTTCACTAACATTAGTTTTTAGAAAAACACTAAAAATAGAATTATTAAAATTATCATAGCTCTTTTAATAATCTGAAATCTGTACTTTTTAACATTACATCTAAATTTTCCTTAACAATGGACATATGGTCCTCTCCAAATAAAATACCCTATGGGCATAAAAATTCATTATATTTAATGATTTTAAATTAAATAATCATTTATTTTATTTCATTCCTTTTAAATGAACATATAATTCTATTAATATTTATAATATATTTAATCCTGTATTAAAAGTAAAATTTGAAATTGATTTTTTTCGTGTTACATTAGACAATGCAAGTAATAATTTAGCATTTCTACAAATTTGAAATCAAAAAGATAATAATTATTTAAATAATGTGTGCAAATGCTTTTTCCCCGCTTTGGAACCCTTAAATAAAACTTTTAAAAAAAATAAGAAAATTTTTATAATTTCTATATCTGAATTTAATAAATTCAAAAAAAATATTCCTTACAAAATATCCAACCTTAAAATTTCCTCACTAAATTTTGGATATACCAACACGTTGGAATTCAACATACCAAATACTTGAAAGGACAATATTGCTCAAACCCTATGACAACATATATCAAGGATTGCAATATACCAATGAAGAAAATTATATAAGTGCCTTAGGCTGGAATAATATAAAAATATATCGAGAATTTCTGGAACCATTTAATTTCACTACAGAGATGGCCTCTTGTGCAAACATTCCATCAGTTTCAACCACCATTTCTACAGCATTTTTCAACATATTGAGAGCTACAATAATATTCCTAATACTATTTTAATGAAGGCCTCTTTAGCTGCCTTAGCAAAACTTGATAAATACTTTAATTTTAATAAATACCTGTATATTACAACAATGATTGACCCACGGTTTAAAATATCAAGTCACCTATTAGGATAATATTATAGTCACTCTCATTGAAAACCTAACCGAAGAATATAATATTTATAAAATAAATAATTTCAATTCAGCTGATCATATACATGAAACAGAAAATAAATCCAAAAATTGTCCTTTTATGATAAAATATATCAAGTTAAAAATAGTCATAACAATTATAGCTTAGAAATAAGCAAATCTGTGGATGATGTTATCATTTCTAATAATACAAATCCAATAGACTGATGGAAATTAAATCAATATAGAGAGCCAATATTATCGAAAATCCAGCTACCTCAGCTAGTTCTGAAATGGCGCTTTCAGAAAGATAGTTTGTTATAACGGATTAACGTTGTTCACTAGGTGAACATACTATTCAAGCTTGCCTATGCCTAAAATGTTGGATGCGCAATGCAGATTTTTTCTTAAAGATATAAAATTTTCCCTTATATTAAATTTATATCAATAATCTGCACTGTATTTTATATAAATATGTTATGCTATATTTAAGTATACTCATTTTTCTCTATTGTGCTAAATAAAAAGTTTCTAAATCAATACGTTTATTATTTAATTGGTTTGGTTAGGTTTGTTGATACAAAAAATTTATGATTAAATCAAAAAAATTTTTATTCTCATCACCTAATAAATTCCTATTTTAAAAAAAGAATTTGGATTCATTAAAATTTTAGAAGTTGGTTCTTAGCCCTGTTTTTATGATAATGCTTCATGATTTTTTTCCCCATATTTATTTAAAACTAGAAATTACGGGTTTTTTAAATTACTATTCTTTTAATTAGTAATTTGTATTTAAACCAATACCAATATAAACCAATACCAATATAAACCAATACCAATATGAACCAATATAAACCAATACTAATATAAACCAATCCAATACCAATATAAACCAATACCAATATAAACCAATACCAATATAAACCAATACCAATATAAACCAATACCAATATAAACCAATACCAATATAAACCAATACCAATATAAACCAATACCAATATAAACCAATACCAATATAAACCAATACCAATATAAACCAATACCAATATAAACCAATACCAATATAAACCAATACCAATATAAACCAATACCAATATAAACCAATACCAATATAAACCAATACCAATATAAACCAATACCAATATAAACCAATACCAATATAAACCAATACCAATATAAACCAATACCAATATAAACCAATACCAATATAAACCAGTACCAATATAAACCAATACCAATAGCATTACCAATACAAGAAATAGGAAATATTATTTATATCAATACCAATATTTTAGATCCACTATACCAGGCGCGTACGCGGGGGGGGGGGAGGGCAAATCCCTCCCCCAAAGCCAAAAAATGCAGATGCCGGATATATTTTTCAAAAATATTATTGTTTATATTGATTTATATTTATTAATATTTATTCCTACCTATCTCATATTAAATATTTTATTACATTTATTTATCTACTAAGTTATTTTATCAATTAATTTCGATTTCAAGTTTTCCGGCATGATATTTACTTATTATTTTCAAATTTTTAGTGGCGTAATATTTATCTACCATTTTCAAATTTCTAGTCAAATAATAATTATTTCTGAAACTCCTTGTTTAACAGGGAGAGAGAAATTGCAAGCTTGTCCAAAGAGATAGAGTTTTGGCCATAAAGTAGTAATAGCTTTTATGGAGTTAGAAGAGCCGATTATCTGCTTTACTGAAATATCACAATGGCCTAAAAGAAATATTTCCTCAGAAGCAAGAAAATTATTGGATTCAATGCTTATTCCAAATTTTTTTTCTCATTAGAATGTATTATTTAAATATACAACTATATGTAATACTTTTCAAAAACATGACATTGACTTGATTAATAAGATGAGAATAGCGGAGAGCATTTTATTTCAAGGAAATTAGGGCTAATGTTGATGAAGAATTTCATATTTTATATGTTATTGTTGAGTCAAAAGCAGAGCTATACGTGTTTAATATTTGTCTCCCTCGACTTGTAGCTAAGCAAGCTCATCGTTAAAACAAAATGGGATCAGTAGAAGAGTATTATAAAACAAATGTCCCCTCTCTTAAATATATTTATAACCCAAATAAATGAATGGTTTTTAATTCATCATGCAGCACTTATCAATCTGTAGATATTACTTCCACAAAAGCCTTACCAAATTTTTCAGATGGTGATAGAAAAAAAATATTTGTTAGATTTTTATCATGAAGATGTTAAAATATCCTATGATGCCTTATTAGCTGAATAACTATGTTTATAAAATTAACTATGGTTGATATAGTCCCAAAAATTCTACGGATGCTTTGCATTTCAAACACATTTTAGATTATATTACCAATATTAAAAGGGTTTATATATATTAGCAACACTTCCCATTAGTAAACTAATGAGAGAACATTCTCTTTTTTAAGAAGAATAACAGAGCCCTGCAGAGGTACCATTTGTATTTTTTTTAAAAATTTTTTACGGCTCGGTTCGGGTTTATTTTAAAAAATTTTCAGGCCCGCCCCGACTTTTTTAGAATAAAATTTTCAGGCCCGGCCCGGATTTTTTTTAAATAAATTTTTTTTTTGATTTTTATAGCTAAATAACGATTTTAAATATAAACTGTTTTAAAATATACAACCCGGCCCGGATATTTTTTTTAAAAAAATTTCAGGCCCTGCCCCGATTTTTTTAAAGATAATTTCAGGCCCTGCCCGGGTTTTTTTTTAAAAAAATTTCAGACCCTGCCCGGGTTTTTTTTAAAAAAAAATTCGCGTCAGACCCGGGTATATTTAAAGAATTAAAATACGGTCCGGCTCGGGGGCCGGGCTTGCATTCTGAAAAACATACCAAGAAGTACAACTTCTGAAAGTAGATTGAAAGGTTTGGATCTTTTGAATATTCATAGGCATATGACGACAAGAAATGATGAGATAATTAAAAAATTAGCTTAATCCCAACGAAGATTGGATTTTACATGTAAATATATAACATACAAAATTCAATTATTCCTTATAAACTTTTTGTGTATTAATTTATATTTCCAACATTTAAATTTTTTATATATATAAATTTTAAAGGCTCAAAAAATTCAAATTTCTATTTTGGGTCATTTAAGTGATTCATATAGTGGCTATATTCACATTATTTTATAGTTTTTCTATACCGCCAGTTATATCCGTTTAATATTTTTTAATTCACATTTATTTTATAGTTTTTTATATGACGATTTATACATATAATTTTTTTATAATTTACATTAATTTAAAATTGTGTATTAGAAATAGTTATTAGTTCTAATAAATTTATGCTTTATTTTTAAAAAACAATAATATTTCTTTAAAAAACAATAATATTTCTTCAAAAAATTTATTATCACCACCCCCCCCCCCCTCAGACCAAATTCCTGCGTACGCGGCTGCCCAATACCAATATTTCGTTTATCTTGGGTTTTTAATATTGGTTCCCAGCCCTAGTAGTTGGTGGATAAAGTGACCACCTTGAAGTGGATCTGTTTTTTTTATTATATTGGGTAATCCACCACATTATCATCACCAGCTTGAAATTAGAAAGTGTTACATGATATTTTTCAATCGCATACTGCTTAAAATTTATATAATAATATTTTAATCAATTCTTGTATTGTCAATAGAAGAATTAAAAATGACTCAAAATTTCTGAAATTTATAGGATAGGTATTCTACACATACAGGAAAACATTTTTAGTAAAATCAGATTCTTCCTTAAAAATCGCTTCCAATAAATTATTCATTGAGCGCGATCTTTAAATTTGAATAATCTGCTTTTGACAGAAATGTATTCCAGCATATGCAGAGTACCTATTATAAAAATTTTCAACATAAGATATTACACATATTGACTAAGGTATTATGCGTATTGACTGATTACGATATTTGAATGTAAGATATATACCAAACAGTGGCGTATCTAGAATTTTCTTATAGGGGGAGGGGGATTTTTGGGGCTTCGTCCCCAAACCCCCCTTACCTAGCTATTCTATTAAATCATTTATAATTTAATGATAATTATATTTCTATTTTTAACTTTTATTTACTAATTCGTGCTTATGGATATTACAAGCCTATTTTTTATTATTTTAAGTTAGGTATATTATATTTAATAAAGTTTTTTTAAATGTAAAGTTGAAATTTTTTTTGTAAAATTTTCTTTAAAAATTAGCCTCAGCTTAAATTCTCATATAATATAAGTAGAATATAATTTTTTTATTGAAAATACTAAAAGTAGTGTGTATAAAATATTGACTAAAAAATAATTTAAAAAACAAGTTTTTTTTAACTTCTTATCAAATACAATATTATACAAAAAAAATTATTATATACTAAATTATAATGTGATTTTTAATTTACGTGGGAATGTTGCCCATTCATCAAGAATTTCGTTTGTCGTTGGAATCAAATCTCTGTGGATATTTAAGAGAGCTAACCCATTTAGCTGAAATTCGGAAGTAGTACTTCGTAAATATGTTTTCAACCTTCTCAAGTTGGAAAAGTCCTTTTATTTGTACATGTTGTAATATGCAAACATGCAAGAATATAAAACAACTTCAAAATATTAGGAAATTGAACCAAGGTTTCTTTACACCGATTGAGCGCATCAATAGCATGCTCAGGTAAAATAGCTCAACGTAGTAAATATTTATACCACAATTCGAATTCACTAATTAAATTAATTTCAGTATCTATATCATAGGAATAAAATTTTGCTAAATATTTAATTTTACCAATAGTGGCATTAGAAAACGAAAAAGGATCTTTAGGTAATAAAACTTGAAGATTGCTAAAGACTTGTTTTTTATCTAAAAACCTACTTTTATTTGCGATAAAAAAGTATTTAAGAATGAGATGAAAATGGATATTTTATAATATTCTTCAGTTGAGCCAATATTTATATTACATCTCAATAATTGCCTAGGTGCTAGACAAGGTTTAATTAGTGTTATATCATAAAATTTAGCCTTCGATTCAACCTCTAGATAAATATTATGAAAACATTCATCTGCCAATATTTATATTACATCTCAATAATTGCCTAGGTGCTAGACAAGGTTTAATTAGTGTTATATCATAAAATTTAGCCTTCGATTCAACCTCTAGATAAATATTATGAAAACATTCATCTACATTCATTCCTATTGTATCTACCTGTTCATATATATTTTCCGCCAAATCAATAACCTGAACCAAATCTAAATTTGGTTTTTGTAAATTTCTACAAAGTAGTGAGCTATAAATAATTTATTGATGCAACTAGCAGCAATGATAAACTCTGATTGATCAATATGATATGGCTTCTGACGACACATTACTTTTTTTCATGCTCAGCCTTATTTAACTTTTGTATTTCTATTTCTTCTATTCTACAAAATGGTAGTAAAAATGAAAAATATTAAAAATAGATATTTATTAATAATTAAAATATTATTAAAAATTAATTCTAACTCACTAATAATTTTAAATTTAATAAAATAATTATATATAATAATAAAATAAATTACCGTTTGATTTCAATCTCTTTGACTAAAATTTTTTCCATTTTATTAATATTTATGAATAATGTTAATGTACTAACAAGGAAAGGAAATTTTAAAAAATTTATTTATAAAAAATAAGTTTTATGTTGAAAATGATATTCAAATATTTGTAAAATTTTGATTGGGAGGGGGGGGTGGGGGGGGGGGGGTGTAAAATTTTTATTAGCTTAAAATGATATTTATGAAAACAGTCAAATTTGCGATGGGGGTGGGATTTCCCCTTCCCCTCCCCCTCGGTTACACGCCTGATACTAAATTTATTCATTTTGGTTTAGTAGTTTTATATAAGTATTTTATGAGTGACATGTATTAGACCCCACTAGAGAGTAGACAGATAACTTTATTTTTATTTAATAATTATTTTAAATTTCTATTTTATTGTGAATAAACATTTTAGTATTAACATTGGAAAATATATATAGATACAAATTATTAATCACTATATTTTTTATACTTAAATTTACAAAATAACAGCAGTATACAATTTAACATTTAGAGCAAAGTTTAAACCCTCATTAATTTTGAATAAGTTTTACAAACATTTATGGTGTCTAGATACTATTTTAATCCTGATTAGTAAAGCTAGCATTACTAGGGATTCCCTAAACAAGTGAACCATTAAAATTATTGCATCATTATAAAATATAATCTTAAATTTATATTCAATCTTCGATTATTTTTGTTGGTTACTTATTTTAATTTCATAAGATATTAAAAAAAAATGCAGAATTAATCATCTTAAATGTTCAAAATTTTTATATTATAAAAATTATGTTTTAATTTTTAAATATATTTTAGCTAAATTTTATTGCATAATTATAATTTAAACAATAGAATATTTAAATTATTATATATGTAGTATTGGGATTCGGAATATCTTGATTTTAAATCCTTTACCGAGAGCAATTTAAAAAATTTTAAAGTTCGATTTAACCGGAAATGTATTCTAGCAGGGTAGAGTACCTAAACTGTAAATTTCAAACAATTTTGCTATGAACCTTAGAACTACTTCTAATTTATATTAATTTTTATATGGATTTTTCATATAAATTAAAAAATACTAAAATGTCTATCGCTGAAATTGGCTGAAATTATAGAGTAAATACTCTACACATGCTGGAATGCAATTCCTGTAAAATCAGATTTTTAAAATCCAAAAATCGCCCTTAGTAAATGATTTAAAATTGAGAGATTCCGAATCCCCACAAATTTCGAAACCCTATACGACATATATCAATCTTAAATAAAGCAGAAAATTCAATGGTTTTTAAAGCCCCATACGGTGGTTTGACAAACCCACAGTTGGGGCTTGTTGAGAAAAATAAACACTTTAACAAAAAGGAAAATTTTAAAAAATGCTAATATATTAAAAAATTATGATGGGACCCATTAATATATAGTTGTAGATATCTAATGAAATATAGTACTTTTTAAGATATAAAAAGGCATGGAAATTATTCATAATATTTAAAACTTGTTTATCTAGACAGGCCAGTCCTAATTAACTTTTTTAAACACAATATATTCATAGTAAAATATTTTAATAATTTATTTCATTCTTTATTAGGTGGAACGGGACAATCTGATAATGGCTTTGGCGAAGTACCTAGAAACGATAATGGCGATGTTGTTTCTTTGGGAGGCGATTCAGATGGTATATACTATATATTTTTTTATCTTTATTCCTTTCAATTACGTTTATATTAATTTTGAAAAAATCTAAATGGTTTTATTTTAATACTATTTTATGAAAAACGTAGGAAAAAAATAAATGAAATTTGTAAGACTCAATCTTGGATTTATCAAATGAGTTTAAATTACAAAGAAAATGAAAAGGAAATAAAAATTTATTTATAATTTCCAATAAAATATTAAACTAAAAATACAGAAACATGCCCATGTAGGCCTGCCCCCTCAGGTCCACCAGGGGACTCCGGAAAAGAAGGAACGCCTGGCGAACAAGGCCAACGCGGGCCTCCCGGAAAGCCCGGAGAAGTAGGGCAAGTCGGTCTAGATGGTATTCCAGGGAAACCTGGACCTAGGGTAAGAGATTTCAAACATCTTCTCTTAAAAATAATTTCAAAAAGATCTTAAAGTAATATTTTTTGCCTATGATAACTTTACTGATTTGACATAATATACTCTCCAAATTTAAAATAATATTTTTCAAGTTTGGCGCTTTGGTTCATTGGTATTGTTTATATCTTAAAAGTCATATGGTTCTTTTGATTCAGAGTTTAATCGCTAAATAGGGTGTTTTCATCTTTTAAAAGTAATAATTTTTACCGTTTTAACCTCTCCCTTCTCATAGAAAAAAAATGCCAATTTTTATTTAGGATAATTAGTTCTCTAATTTTATTGTGTCTTTCGATGTTCAGCATGATCTTATAAGAAAGGGGCGTATGAATTTTAAAATCGCAGTTGCAATGTCTGCATATTGAGACCATAGAAAAGTAAACTCTGACTTCGTTGATATTTGCATACATCTTTTTGTTTCATTCCCCCTAGTAGTTATGTTTCCTTGTCTCGAACCCATTTGTTGGCATAGGACATTTGAAAATATAATTCCTTTGCCACTAGGTGGCATTTGGCCCAGCTTTCAAATTCTCGATATCTAAAGATTTCACAAATTTTTTTATATTAGATCTCATTATCTGATATTTTAAACTTTAAAATTACAGGTTTTTATATTTGTTTGTTAAATCACGCGTTTGTTTAATATAAAAGTCTCTACAATTCTCGTTAGCTTCGATGTGTTTTTAATATATGCCTCTCATTTTGCATCAATTATTTTTAAGCATTTGAATTTTGATAGTGAATATAAGAGATTGGGGGGAATGTTGGTTGGTATAGCTAAGTAGTATAAGGGGTATATCAATTTTGTTCAGATAAATGAGCTATTAAATTTACATTATAATTTTTGTTAAAGATGTAAGAGGGGAGAGGAATAATATAAGATTTTGAAAATTTTGTTTAGATTTTTTTTTAAATAATGTTTGAAGCAGTTCACAATATATCAAATTATTTTATCATGGTTTATAACATTTTATATTTTATAATCTAAATTTTCGGGTTCAATTTATTTATCTTCCATTGAAAGTATTAATGCTCTATTTATAATTATTTATACTCCATCTAATTTTGAGATAATATAACATCAACAGGGTGCTGAATCGAGGCAGACATTGAAGAGCATAGGTTAGAGTGGCAACTTTATTATTTTTTTAATGCTTGGTTGGTTTTTCCTTGTTAGTTACAACTTTCTTTGTTTTTGTAGAGAAATTATTAATTTTAAGGTCGATTTAATTTTTAGAACTTCAAGAAAGGATTCCATTTTGAAAATGACAAGAATTTATTTTGAAGAGTCTATATATGTAGGGATTTTAGATCGAATTATACAAGAATTATAGATACGTATTTAAGTAATAAAATAATAATCTCTCACAATTTATATGTATTATCTTATTTTTACAAGAAAATAAATTAACTTTTACATTTAACGATAATTTAAAATGGTTTGATACTAAAGAAGAAGAGCTACTTATTTTTTAAAAAAATAGCTTTTTTTGTTTTTCGATTCCAAATATATAACAATTCTTAGTATTTAATCATGTGGCCTAATAATGTATGATGTATGCTTGTAAACGGAAGGTCCCAGGTTCAATCCTGGTAAGGAGCTAAAAGTTTTCGGGTTTTTCTTCGATGACAGATGTGTAGACATATGATAAGATGATTTTCTGAGCTGAGAAATGCTACCCCGGTCACTGACAGGCTTGGACAGCCGGGTGCTAGGATACTTGTCCAATAAACCAAATAAGATGACCAGCTGAACTCGTGGGTCATTCAAGGATGATAACGATCTCTTGGCCAGCGCTAGGATAATGGTGACCTCGGGGGCCGTTCAAGCACAATGTAACCAAGCTACAATGGACTTGATAACGATACTCCGGTGGGAGATCCATCGAAATTGATACTTCGGTGGGAGATCAAGCTTACAATGGAATCGATAAGAATACCCCGGTGTACCCCAGTGGGATATCTGTCGATATTGATGCTTTGGTGTGAGGAATACTGGGATATCTGTCGATATTGATAGTGTGAACCAAGATACAATGGCCTCTATAACAATATTCCGGTGGGAGATCCAAATGGAATCGATCAGAAATATAAAAATAGATACTATGAGTAATAAAGTTGAGAGAGATTGAAGGAGCTTACCACCAGATTAGGTGAAAGCTAAAAGGATTATGTGAGTTCAAAATGTAATATATAATTTTAATCCATAATAGGATATTATATGATTGGTTACATTAATTGTAATGCTTGTTGTAATGTAATATTTAAAGTTAATCCATTATTGGAATTATGATTACGAATTGCAACTATTAGGTAATTAACCCCATATAGTGTAAATAATCGTTTTTAAAATTAAAATCATTATTACAAAAGACTAGTATGGAAAGCTATATTGACTCTCCTCCCCACCTCTTTTTGTGAATTTGTTGACATATTAATTATTGTTATTTTTTCCCCAAGTAACATATATTTTTTTTCTCTCATTTTTTTTAATTTTATGCGATGCATGTAGTATTTTTATATATTTATCTTTTTGCATGTTATTTTGCGGCTATATGTTAACATAATGTGGAAAATTTATTAACTTTCTTTTTGTTAATTAATAATATATATTAAATTGATTTAATATAATTTATTTTCTTGTTGAAATAATATTAAAATTTTTTTATAAACAATTAACTTTTACCGAAATATATATACTGATAAATTGTGATAAATATCATTAATTTACCACCACTTAAATAAATATCTTTAATTCTTGTCTAATTTGATCTTTAAATTCCCGACAATATATGTTCCTGGAATCAAAGTATTACCTCTTTGGTGAATAAAAAATAAGGTAAAAATGGACATGATATGTCAAACTATGCGTATATGCTCTATTATATGAAATAATTTAAAATATTTTATTTAAGTTAGTTCACTAATAATGTTATTATTAGGCTTCTTTTAATAAGCCCCTTTTAAAAATTTCCATAAAATTGATAATTGCAAGTTCTACTTAATATTACTAATTAAGTTAAAAGTAATTAATTTTTTAAAACATGACTCTAAAAACAATTATTAACGATTTATAAGGGCCCACCAGGACCTTCGGGAAAACCGGGCACCTCTAGTGGAAGACCTGGAAAAGATGGGCCACCAGGACTGCAAGGAAAAGATGGTTTCCCAGGGAGAGATGGGCAGCCGGGTAGAAACGGCAATAAGGTTTTACAATAAAAAATACATTATCGGTATATTGTTTTATGCATGATTATATACCCATAGTATATATATATATATGTCTCATTTGTATTTTTTAGGGAAAAGCAGGTCAACCTGGAATAGCAGGAAGAGATGGAGAACCTGGAGAAGATGGCCTACCAGGAAAAGATGGTCAAGATGGCAAACCAGGATTAAATGGATCACCGGGACCTATGGGACCTCCAGTAATAAACTAAACAAAAAATTGTAAACAAGTTTAACTTTGTTTGCACTATAAAAATTACCACATCTTTCTATTTATATTTAAAAATTGATAAAAATAGTTAGTCGGACAAGTCTAGCTCACATCAATTCTTTATAAGCTTTAGTTAGTTTAGACAAAATTTGAATAATATAGCCACCGCTATCTCTTATAGGCTAACTCTAGCCCATATCAGGTAAATCATTCGTAGAATCGATAAAATAAACTTAAGGTTACTTCTCACCCGTTGATCATAATGATGGAAACTCCATGACTAATATCAAATTATTTTTATCAAAATATCATAATATTATTATTCCAAAACTCGACATCCCTTCTATTAACCTAACCTATATCAGATTAGCATAGGTCAAATTAAGCATGTTTTATTAAATTATTGTTTATAAAAAAATTTCAATTCTCTTAATATGGACTAGTTGGTGTATTAGTTACTGATTGGACGTTCATTATCATACTATTTATTATATGCCCCAAAATTTTAGTAGGCTTGCACTTATAATATTTTTGAAAAGAAGGTAGTCATTTTTAATTATTCATATTTTAAGTAAATTTATATTTAAAAAATTTTGTGAATATTACATTTTTTATTACTTATTTAGTTGAATTTTTTTCAGATTTACTTTTTTGATAATATATATATTCATTATATCCTTATCAACCATATTTAAACTTGAACAAACAGAATAAGTAATTGATTAGTCATTAGTTTATTTTAGGATGACACTCCACTTTCATCATTTCATAATAGTTGAGACTTTACACAACTTGAACTTCTAAAGGGCTAATAATTAAAATATTTTATACTCGGATTGAGAACTATTTATCATTGCTATTGTGAAAACATTAAATAAAACAAAATTAAATATATTATATTAAAAAAATCTTTAAACAGAAAATTAAATTATTAAATACTGGTAGTGTACAAAATAAAAAATAATGGGCAAAATCTTAATTTAAATCTTTGTTCGATTTAAAAGTACCCATTTTTATAGGTCTTTTTAAAATATATAAATATAAAAAAATTATAAATTCTTATACATAGGGTAATCCTGGATTTAGGGGTAGAGACGGTTCTCCAGGTTCTCCCGGCCGCGTGGGCAACGATGGCAGAGATGGTTCTCCAGGCTCTCCAGGTAAGGATGGGCAACCTGGGTTAGACGGGCCACCGGTATGTTACTAGCTTTATTACATTTATACGTATCCCTTTTTTATATTAGATAATTTTGATATTTTCAAGATCATTGAAGTTGAATTTTAAACATAAAAACATATAAAGAAAAATTAAATAACATCTCCCCTATAGTCGGAAAATCCTAACTTTTGATATATCTTTTGGATTATTTTAAAATAATATATATAATATCTATTTTTTAAATTATTTAAAAAAAATATTTGGTGGGCTTCAATAGTCCAATACTTAAAATATATTTAGTTTGAGCATTGAATGTGAATTACAAAAAATCGAATTTAATATTTGATTTGAAAATTTTGAAAGTTATGATTTAGTGTTCAAAAAACTCTTATTTTTTAGGATTGATTTTATGTGTTATAATACAATTATTTATTTGAAACATAGGCGTATCCAATTCTTGGGGGAGGGGGGGGGGGGGTGATGGTGTGGCACCATTAAGTTGGTTTTTTATTTATAAATTTTATTGAATATCTTTAGGTTCACTTATTGTAGACCTTTGGCTATAATAGATTAAGATTTTTGATTTTTTTTGCTTTATAAAAATAATTTTAGGTTTTCTTTCACTTTTTTTAAAAAAAATAAAAATGCTTTTTATCTAAAATTTTGAATTATAATGGTTATAAAAAGTTATTAACATTTACTAATTTTTATATCAAGTTCTTCCTTATATTTTAAATATGGGGGGAAAAGGGGGAGGGATTGTGTAGGGGAAAATTTTTATTAGCTTAAAATGATATTTACGAGAACAGGAAAATTTGCGATTGTTGGTTACGCCTGGTATAATATAAAACCATAACAAAAAGTATTGATAGAGAGAGAGATGAATTAATAATAAATTTTAAACAGTTATTCCTATTCAATCTATAATTGATTGAATTTGATTAAAATAAATTATTAAATATTTATAGGTTTTCCTTAATATATTTGATATTTATTTATATCATTGTGAATTTAATTTTATTTTTATTATTTATAAATAATTTAATGTGTTGAAAGAAAATAAATATTAATCCAGTAGGGGAAATATTTTTTGAAAAACGGGCCTTCGGCCAGCTTTTTCCTGGCCTTCGGCCGGGTCATATGTTTGAGCTATTCTATTAAATTATTTATGATTCAACAATAATTATATCAATATTTTTAGCTTTTATTTACTAATTCGCAAGGATATTTAAAGAAGAAATAAAGGTTATAGCCCAATTTTTTATTATTTAATGTTTGAAATAAAGTTTAGTTCATTTTTTTTATAAAATTTGCTTTAAAAACTAGCCTCATCTTAAATTCTCATACAATATAAGTAGAAAATTTTTTTTATTGAAAATACTAATTGTAGTTTGTATAAAATATTGACTATAATAATTTAAAAAACAAGTTTTTATAACTTCTTATCAAATACAATATTATACAAAAAATTTATTAAATACTATAATTATAATGTGATTTTTAATTTTCGTGGGAAATTTGCCAATTCATCAAGAATTTCTTTTGTCGTTGGAAACGAATCTCTGTGGATATTTAACAGAGCTAACCCATTTAGGATTCAGAACTAGTATTTCGTAAATAAGTTTTCAACCTTCTTAAGTTGGAAAAGGTCCTTTCATTCGTACATGTTGTAATAGTTAAACATGCAATAAAACAACTTCAAAATATTTAGAAATTGAGCCAAGGTTTCCTGACACCGATTGAGCGCACAATAGCATGCTTAGGTAAAATAATCAAACGTAGTAAATATTTATACCACAATTCGAATTCACTAATTAAATTAATTTCAGTATCAATTTATCAATAGTGTCATCAGAAAACCAAGAAGAGTCTTTAGGTAATGACTTGTTTTTTATCTAAAAACCGTGCTTTTATTTGCGAAAAGTATCCAAGAATGGGATAAAATGGATATTTTTCAGTTGAGTCAACATTTATATCACATCTCAATAATTGCCTAGGTGTTAGACAAAGTTTAATTAGTGTTATATCATAAGATTAAACTTTCGATTCAACGTCTAGATAACTATTATAAAAATATTCATCTACATTCATTCTTATTGTATTTACCTGTTCATATACATTTTCCGCCAAATCAATAACCTGAACCAAAATCTAAATTTGGTTTTTGTAAATTTACAAAGTAGTGAGCTATAGGAAAATAATTTATTTATGCAACTAGCAGCAAAGATAAACTCTGATTGATATTGCAAAATATTAACTGGAAAGGGGGGGGGGGTGTTTAAATTTTTAACAGCTTAAAATGATATTTATGAAAACAGACAAACTTGTGATTGGGGGAGGGGGATTTCTCCCTCTTCTCCCTCCATTGGTTACGCGCCTGCAGTGCACTATTAACAAAAACAATGCTGCCAAATAAATAAGAATATTTGACAGTTTACCTAATCAATAAAAAAAATTTATATTTAGGAATAATTCAAATATATATGAATATTTGAATTAAGAATAATTCGTACGAATAATGTTAATTTATAATATTCGTCAAACTTTTTTTTATTACTTATTCGATTTGGAAATTTAAAATCGAATTATTCATATTTGAATTGAATTACAAATTATTGATGAAATGTTTTGACAATACAAAAAATTATAATACAATTAAAATGTATTCCTTCATAGGAATGAATACAATATTAAAAAATCTTTTGCATATTAAAAATTATTTTGATATTCTTTAATAGGGACCCACGGGGGAACCGGGACCAGATGGAAAAAATGGAAATCCAGGTGGAGCAGGGAATGATGGCCAGCCAGGGAGAGATGGACAACCAGGCCGGGATGGGTCGCCGGGAAGATTAGGACCTCCTGTAATAAATATTTTTTTAAATATGTTCGAAATAATTTACTTAAATCTATTGATTATTTATAAGTTTATAAAGTTAATCTCATAAAATCTAAGTTTTAAAAAAAGAAGACTTTTAAATTAAAGATATGAGAATACTGGAATTAAGTTTAATTTTAATAATTTTAGATAATCATGAGATAACATGTAAAAAATAATCCGGTAAATTATTAATAATTTTAAAAATAATTTTTTATAACTCATTCTTTTATGACTTTTAAAAATTTCCTAAAGGGAATTCCGGGTGTTCCAGGTAAAGATGGAAATTCCGGTTCTGATGGCATTCCAGGAGAGCCAGGCACCGATGGAATACCGGGTTCATCAGGGATAGACGGATCCCCTGGAAATGATGGAATACCCGTATGTATAATGGAAATTTTAAAAAAGCATTATTTATAATTTTTATAAAATTACATAGATTATAAAATTGTGTCATTCGATTTTAAGTTGAGTTAAGGCTCAATAAAAGATAATTACCGATTCATCACGCAAAATTTCATTTTTAAATTATGTTTTTTTAAATAATAAAATATCATTTGTAATTTTCTAAAATTGTATATCTTATAGTCAAGTAATAAAAATTTACCCGCCCGATAGAGTCCACTCATAAGCAGATAAAAAAAATTATTCTCGTGTAAAATTATTTTTAAAAATTGGAGCTAGAAATCTATAATTATCAAGCGATGAAGTAAGAAAATACTTTGGAAAAATATATTAATTTGTTAAAATTGTTTATTTTTTTTATTTTTTTTCAAATAAAAAAGGGTCCAGCCGGTCCCCCTGGAAAAGATGGATTAGATGGTGAAAATGGTTTAGACGGAAATCCAGGAAAAGATGGAGATGATGGCTTAGGTGGAAAAGATGGACAGCCGGGAAGTCCGGGAGACTTAGTTTCATATAAAATATATAACATTTTTTGAATAAAGAAGTGAAAAAGGTAAGAAAGTATACCTATATATTTCTTCTTATTAGAAAAAAAGACATATACACTTTTAATACTATAACCCTTTATTAGAATCTTTACCATAATAAAGCAGGTGTCATTTTTTTAGATACAATAGGAATTAATGTTTGAGAAGTTTTGTTCGAAATAGGGAGTTACCTAAATATGAAAAGTAAATTTTGCTATAACTTGTGGATTTAGATGGTCTAAGCTTAGCGCAATTTGTCTATAAAATGATAAAGATTGGAAACCATTTAATCCAAAAAATTCACCAAAAATTATTTTGATTTGACCTGACCCCATAAGATTTTTTTAAATTTTAGGTATTGATAATTGATATCTGTAGAAACTAAAAGAGATGTAGAATTTAAGTTTCAACACTAGGGCTTGAATATGGGCACTCAAATTTAGTCGTGCAATTATTTGCACTTTGAGCTCTCAACCTCTAAGTATAGTTGAGACCATAATTTATTTTATAGTTTTCTATATGCATACCATCATTAACAAAATTTTGAAAAATATGAGAGAGGTCAGGTCAAAAATTATCCCTTTTATTTATTTGTCATGGTATTATTTTTTACATATTTTGATTTGAAAAAAATAAATGTTATAGGGAGATCAAGGAAACCCCGGAAAAGATGGTATAGATGGCAGACCTGGAAACTCAGGAATAGATAAAACAGATGGGCATTATGGAATACCGGGGAAAGATGGTCAGCCAGGGCCACCTGGTCCACCTGTAATCTAAATAAAAATATTTGATTTAAAAAAATAATTACTTCTTAATATAGTCGTATTATAATATATTCCGACTATTTATCAAGTAAACTTCAATGTATTTTTGGATTGCTTAAAAGGATCAAAGTTTAAAAAAAACTAATTAGATAAATTCTATAATATCAATTATCATGAATTATAGCTTAATATTTAACTACTTTAATATATAATAATATTTATTTATTTTTATCACAGGGACCGGAAGGTGAAAAGGGGCCTGAAGGAAGGCCAGGTAGGCCAGGTGGAAATGGAAAAGATGGTCCAGCTGGCCCTAAAGGAGAAAGGGGAGACCAAGGAATACCCGGTTACCCAGGCAGAAGGGGTCGGGCGGGAAAAAACGGGGGAATAGGAAGCAGAGGTGTTAGGGGAACTCCGGTATACACAATTTATATTATAAAATATAACACTGTATTTACTAGATTATTGTTAATTCGCAAAAAGCTGTTTTTTAAGTTTGTTGATATGGAACTATATACTTTTATGGATTTAGAGACTCCGATATATTGCATTTTTGATATATAATAAATATACTTCTACTATCTAGATATAATTTTTATTTAAAGTTAAGTCAAAACTTGAAAGTTTTAATTTATATAAGTATCTCCCCCAAATTTTTAACTGCCAAGACTCATACCAAGTGAATTTATCTTAAGATCATTGTAAAAAAGATCGCCAAAAAGTTTCACAATCAATTTAAATGTCTGATGATCGATTATTGAACATATCTTTTCTATTAGTTAGGATCAAGATCATTATGTTGAGAAATTTCAATAATATATAGTAAGCTTTATAAAGAAAAAGGGCGATTTTTTTAGGAAACAGTAGTAACTTACACCATTACAAATATTTGTACAATACTATATATATTATTAATAATTTACCTGATTTATAACTTATATGCAACTATTAAACCCCTGTGACTGCACTGAGTACATCAATTAACTCTTTCTTTATCTATTTATAGAATAAAAACTTGTATTCAAGTGTAACATTTTAATAATATTTTTTTTTAAACTTCTATTCCTTTATTGACACTTCCTCGATATTGACTACCATAGGGTGATGTGGGCTTTCCCGGTAACATGGGTTCCCAAGGGGAAAGAGGTCCTGATGGGGAAGCCGGACCTGCTGGTGAACCTGGACCTGTAGGTGAGCAAGGCCATCCTGGCCCACCTGGAACAGGAGGAAGTCTAGGAGAACCAGCCACCTGCGGGCAGTGCTCTGCCCCTCAAATTGATGAGTTGGAAGATATAGGAGGTACGTCGTACGTTAGGTGGGGATCCAGTACATGTCCACCCAGGGCTAGTATACTTTATTCAGGTTTAGATTTTTATGTTTATTTTTAAAAAATTTAATCAATTTTATTCTTATGTATATATGAATATAGATAAATAAGCATAGCACTTTTAAAATCATATCAGCTAAGTGATACTTTGTTTGTTTGAATCTGAAACCATCTAAATATAATAACAGGCATGGATTCAGGAATCTTTTATTTTAATTTTTTTAAATACAGATTTATAGACAGAATTAAGAGAAATATATAAATACCATTAAATGAAAAGAATATGTATTTATCAAAGTTGAAGTGGTATAGGAGATTCTTTTTTTTTCCAAATATGAAAGTTTAAAAAATTTCACTTTTCATGTTAATGTTTTCTAATAGGAATGATTTTTGTAGAGAGCATAACCTCGTTATGCATATATTATAGCCTACTAAATTTGAACTAATCAGATGCCTATTTGTTTCGATATTATCTAATTATACTTTACTTTTTTATTATTAACTTTATACTTAATTCGCGCTACTGTCAACTAAATTTTATAACTCTGTCTATTTCATAATATTTTGTTATAGTTATATATTGGCATCAGAAAAAAGGGGTGAATGAGAGCATGGTGCCAAATAAAAATAAGCACCTCTTAATTTTTTATTTTTGAGCACTCCCAAGTTTATTTAAACTTTTTTCGACGAATTTAAATAGGTTCGGGTGCGCTCTATATACTCTTAAAAATATCAAAAAGGCAAATATGCTAAAATGGCTGTCAAAATGGCCCCTATAAAAAAATAAAAAATTTAACTTTTACAGATTAGATAGATTTTACTATTTAAGTGTTTAATATTAAATTAATATTATATAAAGAAAAATTTATTAATTGTATAAATATTAATTTTAGTAAATATATAAAATATTTAATATAATTACATAATTAATATTAAAATCAAATTTAATATAAATGGTATTAATATAAATTTTAATAAATATATAATTGTTGTATTTAACATAATATAATTTTAATATAATATTTAATTAATATATTTAATTGAAATTTATTTGATATAAAGAAAAATATATAAATAGTATTAATATAAATTTTAGTAATATATAATTGTAATATTTAATATGATTTAGTTATAATATAATAATTAATATAGTATAATTTATATTATATATTATAATATTATTTACATTTATATATTTATGATATTATTTACCTATTTAATATAATTTATTTATAATTCAATATTATGTATATATTTTAAAATACAATATTAAAACATTATATTATAATTAAATTATATTAAATATTACAATTATATATTACTAAAATTTATATTAATCAATTTATATATTTTTCTTTATATCATATTAATTTAAATTAAATTTATTAATTAATTTAAATATTATATTAAAATTATACGTTAAATATTACAATAATTATATATTTATCAAAATTTATATTAATACCATTTATATTAAATTTGATTTTAATATTCTCAGCTTGTTAAATTGAGCATACAAATTTTAAGCTTAAGCAAAATTTAGCAAAAAGTCACGCGACAAAACATCAAAACACAAAAAAAAAAGCATATCATGCGGCACGATATTAAATATACTAATAAAAAAAATAATGTCATTTTTATGACTTCCACATGATTAAAAATATTAGTCATCTTTAAATAAAAAAGCCGGTGAATAAAAGGGATATAAGCTTCTTATTGAATAAAAGATCTTATTATTTTCTACCTAATATGATTTTTTAGTGTCAATTTATTTTAATTACTACATATTTCTTTATTTCTTACTTAATTTTGGATTTTTTTATTACATTTTTCCCTTGACAATATTAAATAATATTATATCGAAATCTCTGAACCAGGTTCGGGTTCAGGTGGATTCCGAGTTCGGAGACCAGAAAAATAATTGTTAAATGATGAAACTTATTATTTAAAACCTGATCTTAAAATGAAACATTATTAATATTATATATATAATCTGCATCATAAAACGATTGATCTTCTTATAAATACTTTATTTTTCATTACACAAATACATTATTGAAGACAAAGCTTCTTCAAACATATGATCATTCTTTTACATTAATATCCACTAACTAACAAAAACTAATTCAAAAGATCACTTTTGATTGACATTTCATATATATCATTATATACAGTGTTGTGATGATTTAATACAACATATTAACCATTAAATTCAAACCCATTCATATAAAATTATAATATTTGCAAAAATAATTAAAATAACAAAAGGAATAATAAAAGAATTTCAATAATGCTTTGTCTATATTTTAATAATTTTTGCAAATAATATAATTTTATATAAATGGGTTTGAATTTAATCGTCAATATGTTTCATTAAATCATCACAACACTGTATATATAAATATATAATAAAAAATACAAAACTACAACAATAATGACTTATTAAAATTAGTTAAAATAACAGAAACATTATATTTTTTAAAAATTTAATTAGTATCGCTATAAAAATAATTTATCATTATATATAATATTACTACAATACAATTTAAAAAATAACATTATATTTTTATTTTAAAAAATTTTACGAAAGTGGTCGACTATTAAATTTAACAAATAATTACAGGAAAAAATGATCAAAATTATTTTTAACATATAATTTAAAATAAATAAAATGAAAGTTTAGAATAAAATAAATAAATTTTAAAATTAAAAAAAAAAGCTTGAACACTGAACCCTGATTCTAAATTTTAAAAAAGAGTTTGAGTTCAATATTGAGAGTTCGAGAAGGTTCGGGTTCTCGTTTCATTGAATATTGCTAATAAAGTTAACTTCATATAATAGTTAAAATAATATCGGGTAAAATTAATCAAATATTATGTCCCATTAAAGGTGAACTATAACCAGATTTAATTGTATGCTTAATTAAATCTGGATTAGAAAAGACTATCATGATGTGGGGCTAACGTACCCAGAGTCTAAGGCTCCAATTTTGAACTCTACATTTCTATCTGGAGGGAAGATCTCTTGTAAAGGACCTTGTTTAAATCCTTTTTATTATCTTGGACCATGCATTTTTAATTGTTTATTATATAATTTACTTTTCATCTTAACAGTTGTATTAAGGCTAGGATGATTATATAGCTCTCTATAATGAAGTCACGTCTCTGAAAAAAAAAACTTTGTTACTAAAAAGTCCACAATAAATTTGTTATCTTACAATGTGAATATAATCTAATGGTGTTATTGTTTTTGAATAAAAAATATATCGAAAGTTTATTATTTCTGAAAATACAAATATAACATTATATTCTAGTGCTAGTCAATTAGTTTTAGAGTTATTATACACTAAAATCAATCAGATATAGCTCTTTGCAAGCTGAACAACTGCTAAACTTAACCAATTTTGTCACTTTTTTTTCAATTTCCTTACGCAACTAGCATTTTTTTTTATTTGATTTGAAATCATCTACATAAAGATTTATATCATTTATATGTATTAATTGGGTCAATTTTTAAACATTCACAAAAATTTTAGGATATGTAGCCGGTGGTCACTATTTGTTCCCTGGTAGTGGAGCCAATTATCTATGTCTGCCCATCACTCCCCAATTCGACAAAATAATTCAAGGCGTTCAATCGATGTCTTTTATATATGGAGCTGAATATAGAGTCTATCCGATGGCTAACCCCTTTGTCACTAAAGGTATCAAACAAAAACCGGCCGTTTGTGCTATGTGTTATCTACCTAAGGTTATATTCTTTAAAACCTTATATTTTTCATTTCGAAAAAGTATTTTTAAAAGTGATTGTGGTTAGCGTTATAGTAACTTTAATATAATTTATTACAAGAATAGAATGTCCAAAATACATCGATACCAGAATATACCTTATAGATTTTCAAATCATTTTTAGATGTAATATTCTTTACAAAAAGCAATATTAACAACTTAATAAAAATATTACTTATTATCAGTTTGAAATCTGGATTAAATAGAGTTCTCCGGCTTTCGGAATCTTTTTAAAAAAGTGGTCCTAGTCCGGTTTTTAACTCACAACATTTTAGACAATATACATAAATTACTTGCAGTGGAAATTTTAAAATTGGTTCTGGATTTTAGTATAAATTTTAAAAGAGGATTTAAGGTTTCAGTTCCTAAATTTGCCTCGGGATGGTTCCACACATTATATTTTAAAAGAGTATTGATAGAATTATATTTATGTTATCATATATTTCGAAAGAACTATACTATTACGATGAATCAAGCTCTGCTGTGATTTTTTTTCAAATTTACTCTTATTAAATATAATGCACATCCATATTTTTCCCTTTAAACAGTAAGCACTTTTTTAGCGTCTTCTTTATTAACTTGGTTAATCTTTTTAACTATTTTACGGGCTATATTATTATTTATTAATTTTCAAAGAGTCTAATTATGAATAGTAATAAGACTTAAAATGCAGGAAAATAGTAAAATTAGTCAAAATTTAAAAAAAAGGTGGCAGTTTCAGTCATGATCCCAGCTAAAATAAATTGCCCGCCACAATGGGATGTCGAATATTCTGGGTTTATAATGTCCTTGAACAATCAGTTTGCTCGTTCTGAATACATTTGTGTGGATAGTGATGGCGAAATATCTCATCACAATCGAGGTAAGGAAAAGACAATCAAAGGAGATGGTTCAGCTCTTTACGTAGTGCAATCTATTTGCAGTAATGGAATTTTGAATTGCGACAATTATCCAGCCGATAAAGTAATCAATTGCGTTGTTTGTTCGCGTTAAACGTGTTTCGGTAGGGGAAAAGAACGAAGATAAATAGGATGAAGAAAAAGGGAAAAGTTAGATAAACGATATATTTAAAGCATTTTTTCAAATTTCAACGCTTTTATAATAATTATACTATTACTTTTACTTTTATTTTTATTCTTTCTCTTTAGAAAAATATTAGATTAATTTTAAAAAATATATACTTACTATAATTAATTATATATAAAAATTAATGATTTTGTCCCTTTTTTATATTTATTTACGTGAAATTTGTATCTTATTTTTCATAAACCAATATTTCCTAATAACATTTAAATTTTTATTATTTTCTTATTTTCATAATTTAATCATTTTTTTTTAAATCCTAGAGCTGCAACCTAACTTTTTTATATTACCATATTTAAGTCATTATTCGATATTATTTCAGCTAGATAATATACTATTTATCATATAGTATCTTCCATGATATTAATAAAAATAATATACATTGAAACAATATAAGTTTTCAGTATAAGTATTCTAGGGGAGGGAGCAGGGCGGGTTGATGCCAATAGCCCGTAGGACATTCAAACTTATATTAAAAACAATAAAGTCTTAAGTTTAAAAAAAAACACCTTATGTAGGTCATTCTGATATCACCTATAAGTGAAAAATATTTCTTTTATGTCAACATGGAATTTAACGTTAAAAATTAAAAAATGTTTTTATATCTTAAAAATAATTAAATTTATTTGCAATTTTTTTTATTTCAAATAAGGTGATGAATAGGGGGGGGGGGGTGGATTTTGTTAAATTTCCTGCCCCCTTTACCCCTGGTTACGCCATTTGTTAGCTACGATATAATTTATCAAACAAAATTTTTAAACTTATCCTATCATCTGTATGAATTTGATATTTTAAGAATAACTATTAGTATATTTAGTTTCATTATAGTACGAACCTATATAAAGAAAAGGGCTTAATTAGCTCAGTAATTAAATTACACGAATCTTAAGTAATGGTTGATTAAATATATTTCATTTCATTATTTATTCTATCATTTAATGTCCTCCCAAAATTAATAATATAAGATTATATCTGCAAATATAAAGAAAATAAATTACAAATTATAAGTTAAAGCAACTAGAAAGTAGTTCTCATCACCCTTTAATTATATCTGTGCCATTAACGTGAAAATTTCAAATGTTTTATAGTTTAAATTATTTTAAAAAATTAACAAAAATATTTGGTAAAGAAGTTACTATCTTCAAATATAATCATTCATCCAGACTTTTTATTATATTTAGATTTTGTAGTCTTTACAAAATTATGTCCGATGTGCCCGGATCAGTGTTATTAATTTTTTAATATTTACTCAACTTTAAATCAATTATTGATCGCGTTTTTTTTAATTTAAAAAATCCTATTTTGCCGAATGTATTAAAATATGTGTACAATACCTTATCCTATCAATGTCAAACAATTTTGTAACGAATTTTTGAATAAATTTCAATTTGCATTAATTTCTCCAAATTTTTTTATTTTTTCACAAGTTCGTTAAGGGTAGGTATTCTACATATATTGGAATACATTTTTAACGAAATCAGATTTTGAATAGATAAAATAGAATATGGGATGCTATTTAAAGTTATATGTAAGAACTCATATCATAAATATAGTAAAGTTTTCAAGTTTTTTTTAGCATGATATCAATATTGCAATTTTTCATTTTTAGCCAATAATGTATTTTTCTTTAAACTGTTCAATAAACGAGCAAGCAACAGAATGTAAAATATTTAATGATATAAGTTTCATAGTTATTGCTTTTAGAAGTTCGGCTTACTTTACGCTTAAGGCATGATATTAGTTTATATTGAACTTATAATTCAGTTACCTTTTAGTGGTTGGCGAAATTGATGGAAGAGATTAATAAGTAGGGCACTAAATTTTGACCTAAACTAGATAATTAGAATCTCTATATTCTCTGTTCTAATATATATTTTCTCTTATTTTATCAATTATTCTTCCCTTCAAACCCTATTCCAAACAGATTAAAGCAATAAAGTAAAATTTTCATAATTAGCAATCCTCATTAATTAGCAAAGACATTTATAGTCACACTTAGGAAGTCTTTCTACAGGGGAACATGCAGCATTATGCTATATTTTATGAATAACAACTTTATACTAAGATAATATTTAAATATACTAAAATCCTGACACTCATTTTTTAAAAAGATCAATTAAAATTTGATAAATCAAAGTTTATACCATCGGATCGTTTTTTATAGATCTCGATTTAAAACATATGGGTCGACTTTTTCGACCTCACTCAAATTTAATTTGGGTCGTTTTTTAAGACTTTGACCCTAAATGGTGGTCAATTTTTTCGATCCAACCCGTCGTTTTCTTAAAAACCTGACTTAAAGTTTGGATCGTTTCGACCCAATTTTTCACATTATCTAAAATTTATATCAAATTTTTTGACCAAGAGCCTACTCGGATCGACTCATAATATATTAATGTAATAACAAATAACCTTTAGATTTGGATATTTATTATGGTTGGGATCTTAATTTTGAGGCTGACTCTTATGTACCACAAAATATTAAAACATATGATATGGGTATCAGATTAAAGCTATTGAAAAATATTTTTTACGTAAACTATTCCCTTTAACTTTAGTGACGTTTTTATTTGTTAGAATAGACGAAATCTCTCTAAACCTCTTACATGCATGCTTGTTTGACATTGCAACAAAGCGGAATCAACACCTCCATCTGCGTTTAGTATGTCACCTAAATAACAAAACTTTTCCACTTTTCCCAGGGTTGCCCCATTGATAATATTCAAACCACTATTTTCTAAGTAAACATCACGTTTGTTATTATTCGGCCGAAAACTTTTATTCACTCATTTCTGGCCTTTAGCGCATTGGATTGAATTTATAGCAACTCCTATTCCACATATACCACATGTGTCGGATTCCTCCACTTAAAATTGTCACCACTAAACATCACCATAGTTTTTTATGCGTCTCGGCACGGATTCTTGGTAAAGTAATACCTTCACTTCTAAAATTTCACTTTCCATCATCCGTCTATACCGCATCACCAAATATTTAAATTTTGATGATTTAGAAAGCTAATTAGATTTTATTCTTAATTTTGATTAAGCCTTAATGATATTATTCACATAAAATTTTATAAAGTGGTTAATAAAAAATTATAGAAGTAAAAACATTTTTAGTGATAAGATAAAAATGGACTTGCAAAAAGTATTCTTAAAGTATTATTTAAATTCTTTTTCGAAAATTTTAATATTTATATGATAAAATCATTGTTCAAAACGTTGTTATTTAAATACTTTTTCTTATAAGTGTATCTATATTGATATTCGACTATTCTGAAAATTTGATGAATCCAGGGTATCGAATATCTAGACATAATCTTGTGAAATATTGTAATCATTGAGTTATAAACCATCGCCTAATTTAAGCAAACAATTAATAAATTTAATATGATTTTTAAAGTCGTGGGTATTATCCTTCTAAGTCAAGATGTCATAAATCATTTGAATGTTTGCTATGGAATCTTACTACAGGCAATGTTTTTCTAAAGATATTACCTAATAAACAAAATTGGCATTTGTTGTGATTAACAAAAATTATATAAATATTTTGTTAAAGAGTAGGATTTTTATTTTACAAATAACGTTATATTATTTATCATATGTGGTGTAAAATATTTTATATATATATTTATAATTGGTTAGTCATGTGAATGTATGTGAGTCATGGTACTACTTTATTTTGTTGAATATAAAAGGATAAATTTATTATATTTTTCCTTTTCGAATTTTATAAAAGAATCTTAAATTAAATAAAGAATTTCATATCTATTTAATTGTAAGTTTTTGGGTAAACATCAGTGACCACTTTAAGGAGAAAATAAATCTGCAGCAAAACTATAACAATTTTAATGCAACGTTGTATTGCAAAAGTATTATTTTGCCTATCTTTTAATAAACTATCATGGCCGCAATGAGGTTTATATATCTATTGAAAATTTATTATCCATTGCTTTAGGACACCTAAGATTTATTCGTGCTGAAGTATCTAATAATGTAATGGCATAGGTGATTTAAAACAGGAAGATATGACAGTTGATGCAAATAGTAATACAATATCACCCTCCCCTCAAATAGGATGTAATAAAGTATTATAAGAAAATGTCTTGCCTAGACCACCAGGATCATCATGGCTATCCACACAATCGACTTGTTATATTGTCGAAGATTAGGTAATCAGCATGTAAGATATTCTTAATCTAAAACAGAATGATAACATCAAAGGAATAACGCCAATTAAGAATTATAAGCTCATAACCTTCATAAAATGGTTATAGGCATACAACGGATTTGATAGTAAAGTTTTGTTTTTAAAGGGTAGGGTATCTGATATTACTTTATAGCAACAATTTAAATTAACCCTCAAGTTTTCCGGAAAGAAAAGTTAATATATTTAAGGCAACCCCATGTGAACAGGATAGCGAGAAGGGAAGCTGCCTCGGACCATTAGAATAAGACTATTTTAAGTACCGCCAAATATTGTTTTTTATGCATAGGTAAATTGTAATTATGAATATTATATAAATAAATGACGACTTTTTTTTTATTCAAAAATAAGTTTATAGATATTATTTTTATTATTAAAGTTTTTAATAATGCTCTTTTTAAAATGACTTCGAAAAACACTTAAAGTAATAAGGGTAATGACATTTTTCCGTGATGTTCGATTTGAAAGGGGATTATAAAAACTGTTCTTTAGGTATTTTGTATTCTCGTAATATGAATCTCTCCAAAACAACGGAAAACCCTGTATTGGCAAAATTTTTATCATCATACATCACCTCATCAGCTTAATGGGTTGCATTCATCTTTAATTACCTCAAAGATTTAAGGTAAAGGTAAGACTAAAAACAATTGTACCTGAACATTAATTACATCATTTCTCTTTATAAAAAATGAGGTATAAAACATTGTGTGGCGAAAAAAAAATATATATAAATAGATAACAAATTACTTTTTAATAAAATATTTATTCTTTTTTAAACTAATTAAATTAATGTCGTCATTGTACATGGTAGCATGTTGAAGGTAATGATTTTCTTTATGAAAAGTCATTCATTATATATTTAAATAAACAAAAAAAAGCAAATGCCTAATTAAGAGTTTTTTTTGTAAATAGATGTGTCAGATAAAAAAATTAGGATTTACAAATAAATTTTTTTTAGCGTTTATTGTAAATTAAGCCTATGGTATATTTTTTTATGAAACTTTCATAATTAAATTTATCATTCCGATACATCAATTTTTTAAATTTTCTAGAAATAAAAATAGAGGAAAAAATCACAAATAAAGAAGAGAAAATCATGACTAAAATTTACAAAATTATGATTTAATAAAAAGAATAATTAAAAAGGGTCAAAAATGATAAGTGTTTCTTTTATTTTAAATTAGATGTGTTTCAAACTTTATAATATTTATGATTACAATACCAAAGTTTTTAGGTGGTAAATTTTTTTTATAATTCAAAATGAGATGATATCATTTTCCAAAAAAACATATATTAGCCCCCCCTCCCTCTTTACATTTTTGCGCTAATGATCTATAAATTTACCTATCGAGTATAGAGGACAAGAAACATAAGTTTCACATTTTTATAAACCGATAAAATTATTTTTAAAAAATAACAAATCAAAAAGCAATTTAAAAAAAAAGTCCTATACTTGTGTAAAGGGGTGGGAGTCATTTTAATAATAGATATTTTTGGGCACTAGGAGGAAAAAAAATATTCACATAAATTTACAGTCTTTCTTTTCTAATATAAATAAATTTACAATTTAAAATCGAGATTTTTTTTATTAAGTGTAAAATGGCTTAAGGTCGGGTTAAAATAACAAAAGGAAGATTGGAAGTATTGGGGGTAATTTAAATAATTGAAATTTGAGAAATAAAAATATCGAAAATTTATTTTAAGAGTTTCTTTTTTTCAAAAATTTTAATATCCGGATAATTCTTGGAAAGTATGATCCAGTTCTTCACTGACAGCTTTGTATTTTTCTTTTTCGTGTACCAATTCATCTTAAAAAAAATTATTTTTAATTAATTTAAATTTTTGAAAAGTAAACAATGATATAAACAAAATTTTAGAAAAATAGGTATGTATAAAGTATGAACTTCCCTACATTCAGCCTAAACTTCTTTGGGCTGCTAATAGAGGTTTTAAATGTTCCATGTATCCTCGACAAGGTGTAAAAATAACCTACAGAGGTTATCCGATCAAAAAATCGTTCCAAAAACCTCCAGAAAAATATGGCTGGGATAAATTCCTTAATCACCTACAAAAATTAAGATAATATGGCCAAACTATATTCCACAAAAGTTGTGGAGAAACTGGTCTAGATGATGAAGTAAAGGTCTGCAATGGGTGGGTTTTAATCCGAACGCCCGTCCAAGGTTTTTTAAAATTCACTTGCCTTATTTATCTAAAAAATTTAACCCGCCCGACCACCCAATGTATAAAAATTATTTTAATGGATGGTTTGGCTCTTTATTTTATTTTTAATTAAACTTATGAAATATGTAATATTATGAAGTAAAAAAATTATTTTTAATAAATAGAAGCCTGTGCTGATCATTTCGCCCAAAATTATTTAAAATTCACCTGGCCATTGTTTTAAAAATATTTTGACCACCACCCGCTTAATTAAAATTTTTTAAAAAACCAGCCCACACTCATCTGGGGGATAAGAGGCCGAGCTAGAAAAAACAGGCCCATTTCAGACCTGGGAAAAGTTAAAGCTAGAACACAGAAAGTATGTGAAGTTATGGATGCACTGTATATAATGAGAGTAGATGTGCATTGTATGAAGATTAAATGGAAAGGTAATGGAGCAAGAATTATTGGCAATATAAATCATGTTTATAAAAATTTGCTGCAAAGTTGGTGTTGGCATGTTAATGTCGAAAAATGGATGGACAAAATCGTAGAGGCGAAAAAACTGGATAATCTTATGATTATCAAGATGATATTTGGTAAAATATTTAAGATTTCAGAATATGTCAACCCCGTTGGCAGAAAGTACATTTTGCTATAATCTATTGGAAGTTCATCTAAACTCTTTTGCGGGGAGGGGATTATGAGCGGTGACTCAAACATAATGAATTAGTAACGAGGTGGGTTGAAAAAGCTCATGGGGATTTGGTTTTAAGGAAAAAAATCCTGAAGGTGAGAGAATTTTAGATTTTTTATAATAATCCTTTCAAAAATGGTGACCTACAAATCAGGTGGTGCCAAAAGTGAAGCGAATATTTTGATATGATAGGCGCAGACATGAAAGTAACGGGGATAACAATGAATCAAAGTAGAAATTAAAAATAAATTAATAGCAAAAACGAATGAGGCACGGGTTTGCAAAAGACAGGAGTGTGTGTAAGGAAATAAAAATATCTTTTAGTTTATAAAGCAGGTAACGAAAAAGAAACATGATGTGATAAAAAGTGCAAAAGGAGAGACTGTAATAGATAGTTACGGAATTAAAAATATATGAAAAACTTGTAAGATAAAAATATTGTGTGAGGGGGGTGCTGGTTGATAGTCTAGAGAATGTTGAATTGGATATCAGAAATGGAGATATTCTGGATAAAGTGTGCATTGTTGCCTATGATAAGTTTGTTGAGAATGATGACTTGGTAATTGTGTCAAGGTATAAATATACTTAAATTTTTTTCAGAGAGGAAAGTTGATATCAGTTGCGTGAAAATATATATGGCAGCGGAAGATGGTCATTAAAGGGGATACATGAAAAAATTTAAAAAAACGGAAATGAGAATGATAGATAGGGTGAGGTATCTCCGAGAGAAAAAACAAGCAAAAAATTGTGCGAAAAGTCTACCTCTTTAGACATAATAAATTTAAAAAATTTATATTACCTTCCAAACGATCGACTTCTTTCTGTAATTTAAGAACAGATCTCTCGGAAAATTCGGCTCTAGTCTCCGCCTATTTGAAAAATCAAATCAATAGTGATTTTTTTAGAATATAAAATTAATCATAATTTCTTTATTATTGAATTTTTTATTTAAACAAATTTTGCAGTTAAAAGGTAAATTAAAGGTATATATATTTATTCCTAAATGTTATGCGCTTACATCTTTAAGTCTAGCAGTTAATTCGCGTAATTGTTCATCGTAACTGTCTTCCCGTTGTGATGCCTGTGAAAATTGTAAAAAGTATATAAGTATTTGAAACAAGAAATTTTTATATTTCGTAATGAAAAAATAGCTAAACAATGCCGATAAATAATATAGCTTGTTAGGATTGCTCTAATGGGAACTACTTTCAGGGTTAATTCCGCTATTTAAATATCTAATAATTTCCAAACTATTTCGACTATGGTCTATGGTATTTAATATTGAATTAATCTCTATCCATATTTCGCAATTTTTGCATAATGGGCACCTAATTTACTCTAATACAGAAAATAAAAATAACAGGAATGAACCATATACAATATGAATGACTTGACTATACATTAGATAAAAAAAAACAAAGGAGAAAAAACGAATATATTTGTATTAGCGCTTATTTACCATTATGTTTTCTTCGCCTATTATTAGGGATGTATCGATATTTTTTATTGGATCGAATCGGGCCGATATTTCAACTTTTTAAAACATCGGTATCGGGCAATATTATAAACTTTTCCGATCCGATAAAATGGTTTATTCATTTTCAAAAAATTTTATCCAAATTTCATATATTTATGTTTGTTTATTACTTATTATGTAAATAGATTAATGTTATAATATAAATAAGGATTTATCAATAAATATTTTATTTATAGATTCATGAATATAAACTATAACTGATCATTATAATATATTTAAATGACTTATGTTATAGTATAGTTAAATTATAGATGTTATACTATTTAAAAAGTATATATGAGTAAATGTAGTGATGCGAAATCGCTCCATTTGAGCCGATTTTTAAAAACGGCTAACTCAATATTTTAGCCAATAATATTGGCTAAGCTTCGAGATTTTGCTAATAGATGTCCAAACCTCTGTGCTCTTCAGGCTTGTGTAATTTTTTCTGTATAAAATAAATAGTTAGCCTTTTTTAAAAATTGACTCAAATGGAATGATTTTGCAATACTAGATGTATGCATTAAAAATTAAAACGATTAGTATGTTTACCGAATACAAGATATGATATTGGATCGGTAATTAGCCGATATCAATTTAATATCGGTAATATGGGATCGACCTCCAAAAAGTGGATCGGTACACCCCCACTTATTAAAAAAGGGAAAGAATGAATCAAAGAATAAGAAAAGGGAAATAAAATATGTATCAAAATAAAACTTTTTCTTCGTTAACTTCCAACGATTTCAAATTATTGCCCACGACCCTGAGTTCTTCTTCCAATTCCACAATTTTACTTAAATTTTTTTTTAAAAATTAGAGTAAATAATTTATTGGTTTAAATTTAAGATAATGAATAGCTACTTATTTCTCTCGTATTTATCTTTTTCAGTTTTATTCGTTTCTTTCTTTAATCTTTCTTCCTATCTATCTTTTTTCTATCAATTCTTCACTTTTACTTACCAATTTTTGAACTTATAATTAATTTTAACATATATATATCATAAAAATTGCGAATTGAAACTAGAAATTTATATGTTTTTAAAAAAGTGTTTAGAGCGTGTTACTATATTCCTTCTTATTTTTCATTTCTATCACTAAGATATATAAAATAAAATGCAAATTTGAGATATGAGGAACAGATAGGTTTTCCAAAGAAAGTAAAATTTAAAAAAATATGGTGAAAATATTAGTTAAAAAAGAAACTTTTGAAATCCATATGAGATAAGGTACATAGTTAATGATTAACTAAAGAAATACTCGTATTATTGAATACAACGCATAATCAAGGGAAAATTAGATTTTAAAGAAATATTTAAAATTTGGAAAGATATTTAAATTCCATTTATAGTCGAAATATTTTACGCTTCTGCAGCCTCGGCCCGACTTTCAGAACTCTCTTGGGATGATTCTAACATAACTAGTTTTCTAGCCACCTAAAAATTTGGGCAATGGAGAGGAGGAGGAAGACATTGTTGGCAAATGGATTCGTTCATTGTGAACAATTTTTGATTTTTTTACGAAAGGAAGAGGAATCAGGAAAAAATTATTTTTTAAAAAATATAATATTTCATATAAAAAATTTAGGTAAGGATAAATTCTAAATTTTTTTTTCTTAATTCATCACTGCTCACTAGCTTCTCAGAAATTCCATTGAAGAAAAAAATCCCCAAAAATAAACAATTTTGGAGTAGTGGGAGAGATTCGGCAAGAAAAGAAACCCAAGAGGCGAAGAAAAACCTAATTGGAAACAATCAATACACCCGATTAATGTGAAGAAAGATGATGTAAAATTAAAAAAACATAATTAAATCCATTAAAAAAGTATAATTTTCTTTAAAAAGGTTTATTACGCTTCTCCAGCAGCGGCCCTTTCTTCCGCTCTCTCGTTATCACTCTCCAAAATGGTCAATTTACGCATCACCTATTTTTTATTTTTTTCAAATTTTTATCGAACCTAATTTAAAAGCAAAAAAAATTCTTAGTGTGTACTAGAAATTTTTTTTAACCGTTTTTAAAAAAGTAAACGCCAAGGAATAGAGATATAAAAAAAACAAAATTTAAATAATGCGTACTAAGATATTTTTACTATTAATACTAAATTAATATTTAAAATTACTAACTCAAAAAAAATACCTATGAGAAAAATAACCTTTTTAATAATAAAATAACAGTAAGGTGGTGTTTATGTTTAAATATAAAAAAATTCACAAAACTGATATCTTTTCTTAAAAGCTTAAGTTTTATAAGTTGTAAAAAAACTTAACTAATATAAAAAGTGCATCTATAATATTATATTGTATAATGTCATTGTGGTATTTTAATGTAATGAGTATAAATGAATGGAAAAGCCGTGGACACGTTTCAAAATCCATCTATTATATGTATATTTACAAATAAGATTTCAAATATCATGATGCGAATAAGTTAAAATTTTATTTATGCATAGAGGGCGGATTTGACACATTAGCGGCTTATAAAAGAATCGGTTATATTGTTGCGGAAGTATAAACGGATAAATTGGTATTAGGGTGCATTGATATGATATATGTTTAGGTAAATATAGTAGTTTTGATTGATGAGATAAATTAGCTAATAATAAAATTGTTAAGTCTTTGCAGTTCAAACGGGGGAGGGATCACGGTTAGTAATAGTTAGATGAAAGTTGTTCAAGAAAACATACACAGTCAATCATTTATATAAGGAAAATAAGTGTTATATTTTATATTACAATATATGAGTATGATAATTAATTATAAAAATTGAGGTCTGCAATACAATGGATCGCCATGGTTTTTTAAAAAAAATTAACACGCCCATTTATCTAAAAATTTTGTTTAGCCCGCCCCGCTCAATCTTTAAAAATTATTTGATTGGTTGTAATTTTTATATAATTTATTATCTTTTTTCTTAAACTTATAAAATAAGTAATATAAAAAATATTTCGCCCGAAAATTATTTCCGCCCACCTAGCCATTGTTATAAAAATATTATTAGCCCACCCGTCAATATTTAAATTTTTAAAATGGCCTACCCATATGATGGCGAGTTAAACCAACCTGTTGCAGACCTCTAATAGTCCTTTTTGAAATTTATAAAAAATATCGTTAGTATAGATGTTTCATGCATAAATGATTAATTTTCATTTTCTAATAAATTTTTTTAATTTTAATATAAATGCCTCGCACACAAGTGTATTAAAATCATTGGTAATGAAAGAATTTGTTATTCCATTCAATCAATTTGAAGGATTTTTTCCTTCAAAATATCATGCAATTTAATCTCTTTTAAAAATATAAAAAACATTCGATTTTTTTCTTTATAATATAAATTATTAGGTAATCGGCTATATACGTTCTGTATAGATTGAAATTATCACGGATCTATAAAGACAATGAATGCCATTTTATTATTTTCGAATAAAATTATTATAAACAAGCGAAGTGAGCTTTGAAAAACATGCAATATTCAAAATATATTTTTTCAAGCCTTTTCATCAAAATACCTCGTCGTATTTCCTATCCGCTTCTTCGGCAATATACTGTGCTTCCTTAAGCTGAGTTTCGAGGACGTCAACTTTTTCTTCGTCATTCATGCTACGGCTCTCCATTACTTTTCGAACTCTTTAAGGAGATTTTTAGTTGATATTTTTAAGTTTAATTAAACAAACTTTTCACTTTAAGCACCAAAGGAATCGATTATTTTTGCTCAAATTAATTAAATTATGATAAAACTGATATATCACGGGCCCACACAATTTTTCCAATAAATATTTAAGAATTTTTGTAAATAAAATAAAAAACACTTTTTGATTTTTTTATGGTGTCAATTTCGCGTGATTTGAATTTGTCTTTATATTTATATTTTTTTATTGAGAAATCATGGTTAAATCAGAATAAAATATTTAAATTCTTGTTTTCACGTTTCTTTTTGTCTATTTTTTTATGCAATTAGTTCTTTAAAAATTCGGAGATTAGATTAGGTCCCCATTTCTGATCGCCTAGGTAATTTTTTTATTTTCATTGATTTGGGTAAAGAATCTATTTAAAAGTGGTACAAAGATGGCTATTTAGTAATAATTTCCAATCGGTGTAACGCTAATATTGGAACAATGTGTTTACCTCAGTGAAAGTCGAGACATGCAAATCCCAAAATAATACAACGTTCTCTTAACAATCGTATTTCCTCTTACTTTTTAAAAACTATTTTATAAATAATTTGCATTTTTGGCTACGGGGGGTTTACCCCCACCCAATCCTCCCCTTAAATGCGCGCCTGGCGTTCTTATTTTGCCGTTTTCCAAAGCTAGCACAGGTTAAATTTAATAAATTTGAATTTTTCTACATTGTTGATATTACTTTATATACTAAACTTAGCCGAACCTCTAGCTAATAGAATCTTGCCATTTAGAAAATTTATACTTAATATACTGTTTCCAAGAAAAATAATATTTATTCTTCAGTTGAAAATTTGTGGAATTAAATCATGAATGTTGTTGATTCATGATTATTGGAATATTGTATTAATTTTTATATAGATTCGTGAAGTTGTATTTTTTTGATTTAATAAAAGTGATTTTATAAATTTTTCTGTGTACGATTAAAGCTTCATCCTATATTCTTTTGTCCAATATGAGTTGAAATCCATTGTACATGACTATTTTTAGTTTATTCATAGGATTATTGAATTTTTTATATATGTGATTCAAAAATTACTTTTTCAAATAATAATAGACTTTTAAGGTAGTTGGGTGAATATGTGGATATACTTTTAAGGTAGTTGGGTGAATATGTAGTAAAATAAGAAGAAATAGATCAGTGTGAAAAAATAAATATTTTTATTATAGAGTGAGACAGGTAGAAGGTATTTTCTGTTCATATATTTTATTTATGAATCAGAAAGAAAAGATTATATGATTAAAATTAAAAGAAGGAATTTAATAATATGCTTGGAATAAAGTAAGATGAATATATAAATTAATACCCTATAGAAGTAGAGGATTAATGATATAAATCCCATGAAATAAATAGATGATAAAAAAAGGTGTAAGTGAGGACCTCTTGAAATTTAGTCTCCGATTCAAGTGCTATTTTTTGAGCCTCTTTCAATTGAGCTTCCAGCATTTCGAGCCTAGAATCTTCGATGTTACTTCTATTTTCAAGTGCTTTCCTAGCTCTAGGTTTAAAATTATTTATTATTTTAAGTTTTATTGATTGATTCTACTAACAAATGTTTAAAGCAACATGGGCTAAAATTTATGAAAGTTTTAAAGTTAATTTTAATATAAATATTTGCAAAATTTTAAAATACATAAAGAATTTAATTTTTTTAATATTTCCCATATCTATCATTTATATTTATATTATTGGTACAAGTGGAACCATGAGCATATAACCTAATGATACAATCTAAAAACAGCTTTGAAAATAATATAATCCTTGATTTTTGCTTTAAATTTGGCATTAACTAAATTATCTAAAATTAATTAAATAATTAAAATGATATAAATAATTGATTAGTAAAATATAAATCAAGATTTAAAAACAAATACATTTAATTCAAGGACCATATTATATTCCTTAAATTACATCTTATGTCTCATAACTTGAATAAAATTTATTAAATAAATTAGTTTGCTGTAATATTTTACAAGATCTAAATGTATATTGTATATTTTAAATTTTGCAAAAAATACTAAATATTAATCTATTTTTTTTAATCTAAACTAAGATTCCTAAGCTAATTCTTTTGAGTTGCTTAATCATATAAACAATAATATAAAATAATTGATTCTAAGTAAATTTAATTCATATAAGCTCCCAATTTTTTGCAAACATTAAAATAACCTGGTTATAAATGCAAATATTTTAAAATTGGCAAGATTGAGATATTTTTTATTACATAACCATCATGCAATGTTAATATATAAAAATAAGTTATCAAACAAAAATATTTTAAGGATAGGTTGGTAGTAATAATAAAATCAGCCTGTTTTGGATAAGCAAAACCAATCTAAAATAAATTTTGAATTGTTCAATTAAAATAATTTTGTTTTATAACAAGTTGTGATGTTATAGCAATATTACAAAATGTTTATGTATAAAAAATTAATTGCCAATTCTGAAATATACATTAATTAGGTCATTTCAATATCAGTTATTAGTGTAGCTCTATAAGATATTGCTTTGGGAAAATATTAAGTCAAATTTTAACAGACCTTTCACTTTCATCTGCAACTTTTGAAGCTTCTTCAAGCTTGGAGGTGGCAATTTTGAGTCTTTCTTCAGATCTTTCTAGATCTTCTTCCAGTAATTGAATCCTTCTATTTAGAGCTGCAACCTCAGCCTCAGCCTAAGATAAATATGTATATTAATATAGAAAAGGTGATAAAATGAAATAATTTTTTATAAAATATCAAATTTAAAAACAACTATAATTTAAATTGTCTGAAAAGTAAACAATTATTTCACATAAAATGGAAACATAATTAGGGTAGCAATCCAATCTCATATATTTTAGAAAAAGAGGTTTTTATAAAAGGAGTGATTTTTGAAGTGGGTTACATTTCCTATACTCAAAGGGGGAATTGCTTTTAGAAAAGTGTTAACACTACAGTAGTATATATAACATAATTTCATAAATTGTATTATTAATATATATAAGTATTGTTAGCCATTATAATTTAATTAAAAAGCTTTTATAAAATATAGGGCTAATGTTTAAACACATCTCTATGTGAGACAAATATATTCAATCCTAGATAACATTACTTCTTGTGATCTCCGTTGTTCAATGTAATGTTGTCTCCTATATTCTTCTGCTTGATCTTTTAAACTATCTAACTCTTCCCTAGTTTGTCTCATTTTCTTCTTAATTACATCAATCATTGGTGAATTATTTTGTTTAGCGTTTGCAATAATTGACATTTGGTAAATAATATATTTCTTTTAGATATATGTTTTAGTGCAAATGGATAATAAAAATATCACAATATCCTTTTATTTGGTTTAGATATTTGGAATGTAGATGGTAGGAAATGCAGATAATATAATTTATATTGGCTTTAAAAAAATGTTTATAAAAAATTATTGTTTTTCAATTGTCAATAAATTATGTTAAATATTAAGTTATTTTAGATAATAAGTTGATTACAATATTTTGAGTCGTTATAATTAACGTAACAATTTATATAATTCTTTTTAAAAAATGCAAAAATGCGTTTTCCTTTATTGGATAAAAAATGTTAAAAAAAATGAGTAAATGTCTAAAAAATGTGTGTAATTGATAAAATATGGTGATGCTTTTAAAAAAATTTATCCGACATTTTATTTTAAAATTTTTATAGCCTGTATGTTATCTAAATGATAAATTTAATTTAAAGTTACATTGAAAAAAAGATTTATTAACATTATGAATCTTATTTATTATTAAAATGCATTTGAAAAGATAAAGCTATTGTGATATATTGATTAATGTTTTGTCAATCATCAACAATTTACGTCAAAAAAGAGAAGTAACCAGGAATCAAAACCGTAACGAATATAGGTTCGTTTTTAGGTACAGATAAAAATAACTGTATAAAGTTACATTAGGTTTGTAAAAAATAACAATACCTGTTAGTTTTAATCTTTAAACAAATGAATTTTGAAAAGGATTTTTAGGGTTAATTAAAAGTTGGAAATAAGAGGGGCGAAAACCGTTATGAAAAAGGCAGTATATTTTTTTAAAATTTTATTACTAAAACCCATAATGGCAATATTTTAAGATTCTTTTCTTCTTTTTTTAAATATCAATAAGCAGAAAGACTATTTTACTTTTGTCCCATTTGTCGAGCTCGATTTAGACATGATACATATTTCTTTTTTAATGTAGCGTCACTGGGGATAAGGGGGGGGGGGGGGGTGAAGAGTCCTTTCATAATTTTAATTTTTTTATACTACTAAAAAAAGGTAAATTAGAAAATAATTAAAAAAAATTTTTTTGAACCACCTGAGATTGTAAAAGCTAGTGATGCCCCTGCTTTTTTACCAAGTGTCCAATTCCTTTTATTGTATAAATTTTTTATATTAGGTAATTCTCTCTTGCAATATTGCTATTTGTTCTTTATGCACCATCCAAATTTCCCCAATTTAAAAAATTTATAATTTTAATCGACATCCATATATTTAGGGCTTAAAGATCAGCATCCATGATTATAATACAGGCAGATTTGACCCAAAAACAAACCAAAAAGTTTCATAAAATTTAAATAAAAGAAATAGTTATGTAAAACAAATAAGTATTTATATTTCCTATTCTATGATTTAGTTAAGCGAGCATAGTTACAAATATGATTTCTTTTAACACTTCTATGATCTAGGTGCATTGGCGTACGCAGCGGGGGGGGGGGGGCAGGGGGACAAATCCCCCCCCCCCCCCCCCCAAAGCCAAAAAATGCAGATGCCGGATATATTTTTCAAAAAAATTATTGTTTATATTAATTTATATTTGTTAATATTTATTCGAATCTCATATTAAATATATATTATATTACATTTATTATCACATTCATAAGTTATTTTATCAATTAATTTCGATTTCAAATTTTCCGGCGTAATATTTACTTATTATTTTCAAATTTTTAGTGGCGTAATATTTATCTACCATTTTCAAATTTCTAGACAAATAATAATTATTTCTGAAACTTCTGGTCCAACAGGGGAAAAAAATTGCAACCTTGTCCAACGAGATAGAGCCTCTTCCATCAAGCACTAACAGCTATTAAGGAGTTAGAAGAGCCATATTACTGAAATATTACAATGGCCTGAAAGAAATATTTCCTCAGAAGCAAGAAAATTATTGGATTCAATGCTTATTCAAAATTTTATTTTTCATTAAAATGTATTATTTAATTATACAACTATTTTAAGTATTACTTTTCAAAAACATGACAATGATTTGATTAAGAAGATGAGAATAGCGGAGAGCATTTTATCAGAACTCAAGGAAATTATGGCTAATGTTGATGAAGAATTTCATATTTTATATTTTATTGTTGAGTCAAAAGCAGAGCTATACGTGTTTAATATTTGTCTCCCTCGACAGCAAGGCAGGCTCATCGTTAAAACATTAATATAGGATCAGTAGAAGAGTTTATCTTAGATGCAGATACATTTATAACCCAAATAAATGAATTTTTAATATATCATGCAGCACTTACATCTGCAAATATTACTTCCACAAAAGCCTTCCCAACCTTTTTCAGATGGTGATAGAAGATGTTAAAGTATCTTATGATGCCTTACTAGCTGAATAACTATGTTTATAAGATTAACTATAGTTGATATAGCCCCAAAAAATGCTATGGATGCTCTGCATTATTTCAAACACATTTTAAATTAAATTCCCAATGTATTAAAAGGGTTTATAAACTCTTCCCATTAGTAAACTAATGAGAGAACATTCTTTTTTAAGAAGAATAACAGAGGCCTGCAGAAGTACCATTTGCAGGGCACGGCCCGGATTTTTTTTTAAAGATTTTTTACGCTATTTTTAAAAAAATTTTTAGGCCGCTCGGCTTTTTTTTTAAATTTACAGGCTCGGCCCGGCTTTTTTTAAAATAAAATTTTCAGGCCCGGCCTGGATTTTTTAAAAATAAATTATATTTATTTTTGATTTTTATAGCTAATAATAACGATTTCAAATATAGGCTGTTTTAAAAAATACAGCCCGGCTTGGGTTTTTTTTAAAAAAAATTTAGGTCCGGCCCGGGTGTTTTTTAAAAAATATTTTGGGCCCGGCCTTGGTATAATTAAAAAAATTAAAATATTGTCCGGCCCAGGAGCCGGGCCTGCAGGTCTCTGAAAAACATACAAGAAGTACAACATGTGAAAGTAGATTGAAAGGTTTGGATTTTTTGAATATTCATAGGCATTTGACGACAAGCAAGGATGAGATAATTGAAAAATCAGCTCAATTCCAACGAAGATTGGATTTTACATTGTAAATATATAACATACAAAATACAATTATTCCTAAGAAACTTTTTGTGTAAAGGCTCAAAAAATTCAAATTTCTATTTTGGGTCATTTAAGTGATTCTTTACATATAATTTTTTTATAATTCACATTAATTTAAAATTGTGTATTAGGAATAGTTATTAGTCCTAATAAATTTATGCTTGATATTTTTAAAAAACAATAATATTTCTCAAAAAAATTTATTATCCCCCCCCCAGACCAAATTCCTGCGTACGCGCCTGTCTAGGTGGAATGTATAGTATAGGCCGTTAAAGTGGGCAGGAGGTTGAATAATGAGTAGGTGGTAAAGTAAAGGGTTTTTCTAATTTTGATCTGGGTATAATTCTTTCTTTTTTGGTAATTTGGATTTCTATTTCATTTTTTGCCATGAATTTACTTTTTTTCTAATTTGAATTTATTTTTCTTTTTGCTAATTTGGATTTCCTTTTTTTTGCTATTTTGGATTTCCTTTTTTTTGCTATTTTGATTTTCTTTTTTTGTTAATTTCGTTTTGTGTGTTTAGTGGGTATGCGTAGAGAGTTTAGAACTACCTGCTTCAAACTAAATTAACAATATACTTCGTGCTAATAGTTAATTGATAATATTTATGTCAGGTACATAGATATCTTTGTTCAAATGTTGTTATTATTATTTAGTAGGTAGTTGTTAACCATATATTTAAACCTATTTAAATCGATATTTCTACAAATTCTAATTTTATTAGTGCCCAAATAAGTTATGGAGATATTTATTTGGTGCCGTCGTTGGCTCTAGCCACTCCTATGTATATTTAATTAAAGTTATGAATCTATTTTTTGATGGTACTACATAAAAAAAATCAATAGTACGGATTGCCGACATAGTGTCTATCGATATCTTAACAACCCATAAATTATTGCAAATTAAATTTTAATATATTTTTGAAAATGAATTCGGTTTTGTTTAATTTTATTTTTTTTGATCTTCATTTTATGTCATTTTTAATTTATTTTTGAAACTTTTTTTCTTTTTTTCTTTCTTTTGCTCATTTTTGATTATTCTTTTTTTAAAATCTTTTTAAAAATAATTATCTATTTTCCTTGTCTACTATCTTTAATTCACTATTTTTTGGCCCTATTCTTTTGGCCTTTTCACCTTTTCACCTTTATCATATTAGAAATCCAGGAATTAAATTTATTTCAATATAATAGTGCAATTAAGGAATCAATTAAGAAGCGTGGGCATATAATAAAATATTTATCGCTGTATAATATATAACCCATAATTGAATATATTTTCTGTTTTTTCAATGGAAAATTTTATTAAAATTGAAAATTATAATAATAAAGGGAAATTGATTGGAGAGAGAGGAATAACCAAGAAAATACCAAGAATGATTTTATATTTATATTGTATTCGTGTAATTGTAAATGAAATCATTTGATTATAAAAAGATATTGACAAAGAAAGAAAATAGTAATAGAAATGTAATAAATGAAAATATAAGGAGAATAAAAGAATAATGATAAAAAGAGAAGAAATTATTTAAAAAAAGAGTTGTTAAAAACAAAAAATAGAGAATTGAAGAAAAATGAATAGATTTAAATTAAAGATTTTTAAAAATTAGAAAAAAAAATTAAAATATCCTATTACATGTAACACACTTAGTACTTAATATTTGGAGTTAGAAGGTAAAAATTTCATATACTTATCTTTATAATTTGAATTCAGAGTTTTAAAAATTAACAATTATTTTGACAATTATAATTAAGGTAAACGCTAGATCATAGTGGGTACAAAACTGAAGAATATAATTGACGTGAGAACTGACGTTGTTAAATCAACTAAACTTGTCTAAGACAGCCAAAATTTTAGCCTAATGAAAACCTCAACCTAAAGGTTGAGGCAATTTCTCTTATGATAAAACTTGGCTATGCCTTGAGATTTGGAGAAAGTTAGGTGATTTAACAATATTAAGAAAACATAATTTAAAAAAATCTAAACTTTTAATATGCACATTTGAACTTTACTGCCCCAATTAAGTTTAAAAATATTTTTATAATTATAGATTTAAAAAAAAAATAGATTTAACCTCGGCAGCTGCTTTATCTTTGGCTTCGAGGGTTTCTTGGGCTTCTTTGAGAGATTCCTGAGCCGCGTCGAGATCGTTGTCTAGCTGTTGTATCTTTTTTTGCAAGCTTTGAACCTCTTCTTCGGCCTTTTTTAAAATAAATAATATTAGATTAACCCATCAGTACTCCAATAAAAATGAGTTAACATATGGGATTTGACAGATCCAAGTCGGAAGCAAATAGTTCATATTTTAAAAACTAATGATCCAAAATTAATGAAATTTTCGATGTATATTAAAATGAAGCTGCTAGAGACATAATAAATTACCATTTTCAAGCAATATTTATTTTAACAGGCTTGGGGTACTATAAACCCCAGAAGAGTACTGAAGGATTTATATAAAGAAGTTTATGATATAAAATATTTCGTAAAGAAGCGTATGATATAAAATATTTATAAATGAAAAAAAAAAGCCTAAAGTTTTTATCCTAACCTTTAACCCTAGAATGATTAATTTTTAAGGTCTTATTTGGGTTAAAATCAATATGATATCAAATCGTGGTGAATGTAATAAATCAGTCAATTAAAAAATATTTTAATTGTTGGTAAGTTTGTGATAAAAAATTTTTAGTGACAAAAATCGTCGTTCTTTTCAAATCTCAAGCTAGTTTTTCCCCACTGCATTGTTTTAATATTATATAGAATATTATTTAAAGGCAAATTATGTACTCTTTAATAATTAAATTTTAAAAAATTAAAAATAATTGCGGGACTAATTTATAGGAAAAATTATATATGATATTTATAAAAGTTTGCCATTTCCAGAAAGCAAACTATAATTTTAAAAAAATTTCGACTACGTAAGAGAAAAAGGTTTCAAATAAAAAAAATATGAAGGAAATAATTAAATTTGTACAAAATTTGAGAGAATTAGTTGTGTTATTAGTTGTGTTGTTGCGGGGGGAGTGGGAGGGGGGGGGGGTGTCGAAGGAGGGTTCAGGCTTAATAAAAATTTTAGAGCTTCCGAAAAATTATGAAGTGTTTATTTGATTTATTTATTCAAATTTTTTTTTGGTTATTTAAAAAAATATAATTTTTTTAAAAAAAGTAAACCCTACGCTCCAAGAATACTATGAGAGAGGCGCCAAGTAGAGCAATAATGGAAGAGTTTCGAGATAATATTATCCTTAAACATGTAGTAGGGCTTTAATCCTAAAATGAATAATTAAAACTAAGGCAATTTCGTAGTGTTTGTGAGTCAAGCCAAACATCAAATTTGGTCGTTTGCCCATTAAAATTTTTAATTGTTTAGTTTAGTTATTCAGCTGCATTTTTTCAATATAATTAACATATAAAAATATAATCAAAACTTACCAATGACATTCAAAGAATTCATCTGGAAAGAATCTTAATTTTGGAATTGAATTTCTCTATTTATTGAAAGAATAAAATAAAATCCTTTCTTTATTATTGATAATAATATCTGGGTTTGGTAAACATACTTATAAACGCTCATTTTTGATTTCTTTATATTGGTCCCCAAAGTCAGATATTTCAAACGCTAGAGAGTATAGTATTGCCTTAGCTTTGCCTATGCCTTGCACATTTTTATTAAAATAATAAAATACTGATAAACCTATAAAAAGCCAATTAAATTATCTCCTTAACACCCAGATTGAACTAAAAACTTCATAAAATTAAGCAAATCGATTCAGATGACAATTTAGTTATTTTGAAATCGAAAATAATAATATCCTAAATTGTTTATAACTTCTAAAACATTGCTTAATTTATGTACACAATATTATGTTTTTTCATGCTGAAGCAAGTAATATACTAATTAACACGGCAAGTATTTTTGATTCAAATAGTTTTAACACATCAGGAATTATGACTTTCAGCATTTGTAATAGTCGTAATTTATTCTCTACTGATGATTTTAAAGTAATCTTATGACACGCCAACTTAAGATTAATTATTTTAAGATTCTGGTAGCGGATGATTCGAAAATTATCACCAATGTATTTTTCTACTGTAAAATTTTCATCTTAGAACTAAAATGAAACTCACTCCAATAATAATAAATGAAAACAGAACATTATTTTTTATCAATTAAAAATAATGACATATAAAATCTTACAAAATAATCCCTTTAATGGAAGAATGGCGACTTAATCAATTTTTAAATGTTTGATTTATGAAAGTAACATAATCATAATAAAGTTATTTTTGCATTTACCCTTGCATGCTGAAATATTTATATATCAAAATGGCTAAAAAGAAAACTCAGAGGTCAATTATCTACGCTTAATTAATTAAGAGGAAGAATATCATTTCTCGGGAAATTTCGATAGTTTTTTTAAGTCTTTTTAAGCAAATTAATTATATTCATTAGAAAAAAAAGATTTGAATAATTTTACCTTCTGTCGTCTAAAATAAACAAAACAAACCAATATATTCAGAGTTATAATATTATATTCGTTCCAGTTGTTACAATGAGGGATTTCCTATCCTTAAGAAGATAGGAAGAAAAATTACCGCAATTCTTAAGCAGAGCATAGGTTTAGAAATTTGTAATTTAAATCTCAATGTAGGCTTTTATCCCCCGTTTTTATCTTATGTTTTATTTTTAGATGCAATTATTTTTTTTCCTTTTATAAAATTGATAGTCATTTCAGAGACCTACATGGGAAAGGCCGGCTTATTTTCTAGCGGGCCTGAGCCAGGTCTAGGTTTTTGTAATTTTTTTTAATGGGCTTGGTTGGGCAGGCTTAAGCCTAAAAATTTTTTATTTTAATTTAATTTAAAAAAATATTACAATTTTTTTTCTTTTAATAATAAATTTCAGTATTTCAAACAAAATGAAGGCCTAGTAAACATTGGCTCAAAACAAAGCTTCCATTACAATATTTTAAAATTTCAAAAAATGTTAGAAAATGCTTGACAGATCATCCCATCTCAGCCAAATTACTTTGATAAAATATATTATATAATGATAAATCATAAGAAATTATTTAACTTGAGCCGCTCTTTTGTTTGCTTCTTTGCATTGTTGATCTAGTTGTTCGGCTCTGTCTAAAGCATTCTCCCTCTCAATTTTCATCGATTGCAATTTTTTCTTAATGGCTTCCATTGCGTCTAAGTTTTTTTAGGGTTTCTGGTTTATTGTGCTAATTATCAGTTTACCACAAATAAAAGATGGGAAATAATTGAGGTTCGGAAAATATAATTGATTCGAATTAGTGAGTTTTATAATCTGTGGAAAAAATAAAAAAAAGTGTATTAATTTAAATATTATCTTATAAAACAGAAATGGTGACTAGTTAATGATTTATAATACGGTCATTCCATGTCAAATAGAAAATCGAGATTTTGGCCGACCTCTTTTCAATTTTGATAAAAATTTGGGAATGTTATATATATTCTATAATATTTTAAACTAGATTTAGCTCATTACAATTATATTAACTAAGATAATGGGGATTTCGGCTTTTATAACCTTTTACTGATGGTAAAAAGGTAAATTAGTACAAATATTGAATCTAATATTAATAACAAAGTCAATAATTAATAATTATAGGAAAATTCTTTTAAGGCATTATAATTGATTTATAGCACCATCTATACGTTTTTTATATACTATCTACGATATTTTTTTAAAACTATTATCTAGCAGCCTTATTGAAGAAATAAATAAAAGAAATAGTAAATTAATAATAGAAAAAAAAGTTTGAATAATCGTAGCTCATAATCTTAGAAATATAAATTTTAAATTATCAAATGGATATAGAATGACCAATATTTTTTAAAAAAATTAATTTTGATGTTTACCCCTTAATTATCAATTAATGGCTTAGTATTAACACTAGATTCAATATTAGAACTAATTTAGTTTATAATTTAAAACTAATTATTTAACATCAGTAAAAGGTTAAAAAAAAGCCGATTTTTGTATCTTTAATTCCCATTATCTCAAGTAATATAATTATTAGAGCTAAAAAAATAGTATATACAAATATTTATCGAAATTGAAAGGGGTGGTCAAAGGTGTTTAATTTAATATGGAAACCCAATAATTGCCAAATCACACAATAAAGAAAATCAACGTTATTGTGGAGCTATTACAAAATATAAAAGTGAAAATTTGTTTAAAATTACTTTTCATCGAAATATCTAATTTAAAAAAAATTAGATTTTCATTTTGCAAAATGTTTTTTTTCAGTAGTTAATCAATGTAGCAACAAAAAAATGGAAATCAAAATTAGCAAATATAACGATGCTGATGATATAATTATATTTATCATCTATTATAATAATCCTCAAAAAAAGTCAATCAAATTTAGCCAATTGTGTTCTTTTAAAAAAATTTTGTCCAATAAAAATGATTATAGGGTAATCGGTCCAATAGTAATCATGTAAAAATCCTACATTTACCCCCCCCCCCTTAACTTTCTTTAATCTCCCCGTGATAGAAGTCTCTGAGTAGATAAATCACCCAAGTCAAATTCTTTAATCCAAAATCATCCTGTTTTAATTAATTCATTCAAATTTTAAATAATTCATTTTTTTTATAACCACCTCTTATTTTGTAAATACTAACTGAATAAATTTTTTCCAGTAGGTACGGGTTTGTTGTTAAATCATATATGGTTATTATATAATACAAATAAAATAGTATTTTGTGTAGCGTATGACCTTGTCGGTGATTGATCGAATATGCAGGAAGGATTAGGTTTTTTAATCTAACTTTACTAGTTTTTTTCACCGGGGTCTGAATACCTATGTATGAATATTACTCCAAAGGACTTATTTCTTTTAAAGAAATTGAACTTAACAGGACTATAACATTTGCCAATTCCCTTAAAAGGTAAATGGGCAAAGTCTCCACCAGCTTAATGCCAATTGATTAATGTTTATATCATGTTGCACATATTTTAATTATCAAAGATAACGCGTTTATACATCGGAAATTTATTATATCAGCTAAACCACCTTGCATAAATTCTAATTCTTTTAATTAAATCATGAATTTTCTCGAATCCAATATTCATTAGGTGTCGCCTTGGTATTGGGGATGTAATAAGTAGATTGTGGGCAAAATTATTTAAAACATGTTTAGGTTGGATAGCATGCTGTTAAAGATAACGCTATTTTATGTGGGTCAAAGTAAATTCATTGAGCTCATTGTAATTAACATAAATCTAAATGATTCAGTGTGTTGATTTCTATCATAAACGTAAATTATCCATTCCATGTTAAATCAAATATCTCACAACATACATTTCTTTCAACTTTGATAAAAATTAGTGGACCTTTTTTTATCATTTTTCTCTGTTGGACAATTAGTTTTATTAATTATAACCTAATTCAATTTTAATATTTATAATAATTTGGTCGATTATTGATAAGGGGAAAAATAAAGATGAAAATTTTGATTATAGATGGTCATCTTAGGCTTATTTGAAAGTTTAAAATTAAATTTTGAAAATAACTAGGAACTCCGATATATAACTCCTAGCTTTCCTATTTTTCAAAAAAAAATTTCGCCTTAATTTCCTCAAAATATTATCAAGAATAATGTACAAAAAAATATAGATGGCTATGATGATTAGATGCAATGAAACGCTGCTTATTTCCAGGGGGGGGGGGGATTATTCTTTTTTTATTTTATTTTTATGTTATATGTTTGTTTAAATATTTATATGGGAGGGGGTAGGGGGTAGGAGCATTTTGACTATAAATTTTTTAAATGGGGTTAGAGGTAAGGACCTTAACTACAAAGATGGGGTCTATTTTACCCCAAATTTTGATTAACCATATCTCAGATCATATTAAAGTAAAAGATCAAAAATGTTAAATATAAGTTGCTGAAATATTTTTATATTTTTGGGACCTTCCTTTATTTATAGTATTATCACCAAAAATGCAAATTTTATTATATATTTTATTAATTCAAATGTTGAATAATGATAATTACATAAATTTTATATAAAAAAACATCAAATATCAAAACAAGGTGGGACTTATAACCCCCCCCCCAAAGTTCAATTGCAAATATTTTAAAAAATATTAAATAAATAATCTTGAAATTTGGTATATAAATATTAAAATACTATAAATACCAGGCCAAAATATCTTCAGGTTTTTTTATTATCGAGATTATAAACGTCGTGGCTTCCCAATCAAAAAAAGGAAAAGGCCAATCAAAAAAGGAAAAGGTCAATCAAAAAAGGAAAAATATCAAACAAAAATGGAAAAGGTCCAATCAAAAGGAAAAGTGCCAATCATAAAAAGGAAAATTCCCATTCAAAAAAGGAAAATCGGTATTTTTTAAAATATTTTTAATTACTTGTCAATATTTCTAAAATTTTTATTTATTTTTATTATTCCTTCCTTCTTATTTTATTTCTAACTTTTTGCGATTTCTTTAAGCCATTTTTAATCTATATTTTTCTTACTATCTTTTCTCAATTGGTAGACAATTTTTTTTAATAGAAATTTTTGAATTTCAAATTATTTAATTACTAGAGAATTAAATTATTCGTTTGGTTATAATGTACCTTTTTAAAATTAATTAAATTTGAACTATTAAGCCATGTAAATTAATAAAATATAATCATATTTAAATTCTTATTTTTAAAATTTTAATATTTATGCAAGTACATTCAATACTTTTGAGCAAGTAAATAATTTTTTTGTAATTATTTTTAATAGATAATTCTTTGATTTATGAATAATTACACGTAAAAATGAGGTATATGTTATAATCTAAAGGATTTTAGTCTTTTTGTCATTCATTACATTTGTTGAGTATATATATTTAAAAAAATTTTTTTTTTAGTTTAAAGAATAAAATCATGAAGATATGAAACACAAGGGGAAAAAAGGAGGGATCCAAACCGAACCTGAATTGAACCATTAAACTTCAAAACCCAGTATTTTTTATCGAACCTAAACCGCTAAAAAATATTCTAGCAGAACCTGAACCGAACTGCTAAAATGCCTCTGAATCGGTTCGAGTCTCATAATTTTATGCTTATAAAATAATGTGTAAGTTATTATTAGTATATTGAATTTTTTTTAATTATACTCAAATTGTTTTAAAGATTATTATCAATCATATTTTATTGATAAGTGTCAGTCATACATTTTATAAACTTTAGTATATTGTCATTTTCAGTGGCGTAGCCAGGATTGATCTAGAGGGGTGGGGGTTAAAATTTTTTTAGTGTCTAACCATAGTAGCCAGCATAAATGAAAAAAAATATTAGTAACAAAATTTTGGCCAAATTTATGATTAATACACGACTGAAAGCATTATTCAGAAAATTTTAACAATTTTTAGTCAATTGTAAATTAATTCAATCCATTCGGTGTAGAAAGAAGAATAAAATCGCCCCCCCCCCTTCCAAACCTCCCATTTTTTATGATCGCTCAATATATCTTATTCTATGTTAAAAATAAATATTTTAATTAAATTTTAGCATATAACAAAATTTTACAGAGATTTCATTATAAATTTTATTTATTATTTATACAATAAAATAAATTTCAAAATTTATGAATTTTATACAGATATTAAAATTTTATTCTAAATAACTATATTTAAAAAAAATAGAAATAAAACATAAATAATTCTTATTAGAGATCCACAAAAGTAGGAAAATCGGGTTCAGGCTGGGTCGGGCCTAATATTTTTTAAAGAAATTCGAGCCGGGTTGGGTCGGGCCTTGGAATTTTTTTTAAATATATCTAAAATTATGTTAAATTTTTTATATAAAATAAAAATATTTGATTTTATTTATAAAAACTAGACGCCATATAACATATATATCTTATTTTGAGTAATTATAAAAATGAATTTCTATATTTAAATAAATCGGGCCAGGCCGACAAAACTTTTTAAAAAAAAAAATTTCGGGCAGGGCTGGGCTTTAGGCCCGATGCAGATCACTAATTCTTAGTGCAAATGCAATATTTTTATTAAAAATAGTATAATATATAAATATTATGACTAAGAATTCATTATAATTACGTTTTGAATATAAAAATTTTATGACTAAGATCCTATTATAATAATATTATCATTTGAATTTATAAACACATGTCTACTTTCTCTGAGATTTAACTAATTCATCTAGAATCAAATTTTTATCTTGAATAATCTCTTTATAAATATTTAGTATTGCGAATCCATTTAAACGGCTTTCACCGGTACTATTTCTTAAGGTTTTTAACCTATTCAAAGTTGTAAAA